GTGGAAGAAGAGCGGGAAATCTGGGAAAGTGATTCAGCAGCAGCAACATTGTTTTGCCCCTGCGGTTCCTTCCTAAGCGGGGGGCAAACTTTTGTGACCTCGCTTCTGCTGACATCACATCCCGCTCAGAGGAGGAGTTGCTGTTGTTCTTCCATTCGGCCCTGTGGGACGCTTCCCTGAAACTTAGGGAGACCTCATGCGTTGCGGCTTCCAGAGACAGCAATTCAACCTCGTCTAAAGGGAGAGCGCAAGAAGTTGTGGGAAAGCTGAAAAAGTGCACACGCGTTGTCGCCGCCTCACGTATCCTCGCTTGTAATTACAGCAGCTTCAGGGCGTGGCGTGTGTGGTTAATGGTGGCCTAGCCGGGGGGGGGGAGAGAGAGAAAAGAAGTGCCCACAAAGGTCACGCCTTTGCTTCCCTAAACCCAAAAGACTTCGACGGTCTCCCTCCGCGCTCCTTGTGTACGTGACTGGATGGGTGTGTTGTGGGGAAGGGAACGCGGGGATGCGTCGCGCTCACTTTTAAAGGAAACCCGGTCGAGGGAGAGCGTCTCGGCTGTGCTTTGGGTTGAAGGGGAAAACTGCCAACTGTGCAAGTAAGCCCCCCCCCCCTTTCCAGCGTTGATGCCTGAGGCAACGCAGGAAGGTGAGAAGTACCCTACAGAATATTCGTGATGATTGTATTCAGAATGGTGGCCCTGTTAATGTGTTGCAGTTAAAACAAGTGAGGCACCTTAACAAACTTGAGGGCTTTTGCCTCATATGGGTTTTCTCCAGTGTGTACTTTAACAGTGAGATACAGTGGCAAGAGTATTGGACATGGATTTGGGAGATCTAGGGTCCTGATCTTTATTAGGGTAAGTGACATGCTGGCAAACCTCACAAAATTGTGGTGAGGCTGATGCTGAAAGAAAGAGGAGGAGGAGGAGTCTATGCCCAGTTGAGCTGATAGGAGAGAAGGCAAGATAGGAATGAAATTAGCTAAATAAGTAAATACAAGCACAAGCTATTTAGATAAAGAGAGGGAGCTAAAATTTATGAAGAACCTGAAATGCAGAAACTGGGCAGTTGTACTTTCTATTTCCGTTGGCTTTGCATTGTTGTGGAATAACAGAGTTTGCTGGAGTAAAACTGAAACCTGAAAAGGGCTCTCGCCCTACTTAGTTTTGCATCTCTTGCCCGTCCCACTACATTTGCTTCATCATCTTCTGTAGCATAAAGCTACACTGCAACCCACCTGTCGTCAGTGAAAGTGTTCATAAAGTCAAAGGAAAGCCAAACCATGAGGTTAAAATTGTTTTAAGTATTTTCCTGGCCTTCTCGGTTTCAGTAGATGCCAAAGAAGGGCAGGGAGCAATCAAGGCAACAACCAGAAGTATTAATGTAGCCATGCCATAGATTATCATGGCAAAGAAGAAAGATTGGGCTTGTTATAGGGATCTAGCTGACTCTTGTACAACAAGGAAAGAATACTGTTTCCAAATGTGTAAAACTCTGTAGAAAAATACTGGCTGACAGATGAATTTCAGCAAGCTGTATTCACAAAGATGATGCCAAAAGGTGGAGGTTTGAGATAGCTGTAAGATTCTCTCTTGCAAAGCCATTAGCTTGTTAGAACAATTTTCTGTTTCTTTTTCCTGCATGTGCACACCAGAAGTATTAAAGTGGCATGTATTAAATTTGTCTTGGTTTTGGACTTTTATCATTTAGCTGCACATTATTTCAGGTTTTTCTCCAAACATTTGGGTTCTGGTAGTCCAGACCATAGCTACCTAATTGTTTTACTTTACCCTTATTTATTTCTTTATCCTCTGAGGGCATTACAGTATATGATATTTTTGGAGGAAGAATGTTGCTGATCCTCTTCTTGTTTGGGCTTGCTTCAGATATGTTGAGAATGTCCCTGTGTGCCTTCTATTCCTCACTCTAATATCCCCGTGGTCTTTTTATGTGGCTGTCACAGACTTTTAAGTAGAACATTTAACTTAGTGACATAGTACAGCATAGTTTGTGGCTAGTTGCTGCTTTCTATCCCTCCTAAAACACTGAAATATTTTTTTGAGAATGACAATAAGCTAACTTCCTGAATACTGCTTATATCTTTAGTTTTTGAAGCTGACAGTAGACTCTAAAATTCAAAGACTGAAGCACTTTGTAAGTTTTAGTGGAAGTCTAGCACTGTAGACATTCTCATGATGATGCTTGCCTGATATATATCTGATTAATATGAATGTTTTTTAATGGATTGTCCGGGAGGCAGTGGAGGACAGGAGGGCCTGGAGTGCTCTGGTCCATGGGATCACAAAGAGTCTGACACAACTTAACGACTAAACAACTAAAATCCCTCAATGCTTTGAACATGTTTTTGGTGTTGCTTTTGTTGATCATTTTTAAGTGTAGTGCTTGCTTGATCTTTTTTAGTATTTGTATACTTATTGTTTTTAGATTTGAATATTGTCTTTTTAATTATGTAAGTTGCCTTAGGCTCTTTTTAAGAAAAAAAGATGGGGTGTTTTTTAAATTAATTAATAAAAGCCTGCCAGTCCTGGTGCCAGATTGCTTTAAAAATGCAACCTATTTAACCATTCTTCTGACAGAGAGACTGAAGCTTGTATTTTCTGCTATTTTTAGAAAGTGGCACAGAAACAACTTTCCTCTGGTAAGGCCACAAATATTGCCATCTCATTTTAATTAACACCTTCCTGGCTTCTTTTCCAATTTCCAAGAGGTGAGAAGACTGCTTTCTCGATTGTGTGCAAAGGGTTAGTAACATGAGTGCCTGTTTTTGTTGAAGTAAATGGGAGCCTATCTCCTGAATCAACAATGTTTAAAACCAGACATTTCCCTTAATTATTTTTGTCTCCAGATGAGATCTAAGGATGTTTTCTGGCTCTTGAATTGACCGGGGGGAAACAGTGCTTAAGTGCAAGACAAAGGTAGTTAGTTTAGTCTGTTCAAACAAATTAAAATCCGCAGATAGACAATACTTTCAACAGGAATATCTTAATTTCCCAAAGAGTGTTGCAAACTTTTGAGGTCCTCAGAACTCTTGCTTAGATCATGTCATCCTTCTGTTTCACTTATTAATCAGTTCTTTAATAAAATACAATAATTTGGAAATTTGGCCTGGATGGGATTCGTATGACCCAAAGGGGATGAAAGGGTCTGCCTCCCATGCTGTTGATACCACTTGAATTTGACTCTAGGCTTTGAGCTAACCAAAAGTAGAAAGTGCTGTACAGTATGGGCTGGGGCAAGTGTCTGAAAGAGCTTGGCTTGCATTCCCTATTTATGAGTAAATATGCCATGTATCAGGGAAAGTAAATTTGCTCCTTGCATAGGCCTAGTAAAGATACATAGTGCCCATTGTCATCAGGTGAATAATAACTGTGGTCTCTCCCATAGTACTAGGATAGTGGTCACTCTGCATCACCCAGATATTGATAACTGGCAGTTCTCATATACTTTTTTTTTGTCATCCAAGTCCCAGATTTCTGTTTTCATGTTCTATTTCTCATGCTGATTTTACTTTCCCATCCAGCAACCACTGTGGGTAATGGTGTTTTGGCTACTGCTTACATTCAACTTTTACTTTGTTTTCAGGAATTTTGCCCGTGGAGCCTGCAGATGGGGTCAGAACTGTCGATTCTCCCATGACAGAAAGGTGACCCAGATCTGCAGGTATTTCCAGAATGGATTCTGTGGCTATGGAGACCGTTGCAGGTAAAGACTCTTAAATATCAACCCTTTGCTGCTGCCCCAAAATATCTGCTGCTCACAGGGATATATTGTTTCAGAGGTTTTTCATGCTAGCTGTCCCATTCTTAAAGTTCTTCAAGAATAGTTGGGTTTCTGGAAAAATCTAATAAACTGTGGGTTATACAAAAATGTAAAATGGGAAGGAAAATGGTAAAACCTATATTCCCTCAACAGTGGCCCTGTCTTGCATCCAACTGTCTCTTTTTGGCTGCATGCAACAAAGACATTTTGGTAAAAACGGACTTAACCCTTTGAGGATCTCTCAGTGATATCCATTAATCTGATAAAACCCCAGTGTTGCAAAGTAGTATAACCTGACCAGATACTAATTACCTGGTGAGATGGTGATCACATTCATGCTTCTCTTAGAAGGTTATAATCTAGGTAAATAATTGAGCTGGTCAACTAGGACACTATTGAGTGTTCCAGACAGCAATGGAATCCATATCTGTAGTAAATATGTCTAAGTTTATTAGCCAGGTTGACGGTCTTGTGTTGTAGTACCTGCTGTATAACAAGTAGAGGGACTAAGTGTGGTATTTCTACAGAACAAAATAGAAGTGTGAGCTGTGTATAGCAGGGCCAGGCAGCTTCTGGTGTTAGAAGTAACATTCATCACTTCTGTGCTTCCCGCATTTATTTTGGGAGGGAGCTAGATCTTTTTCAAAATCACAAGTAACTGAGAGGCACTACATTATACTTCTCTTCCAGTGTGGATGTTATAGCCAAATGTAATCCACAAATATAGTTTTAGTCTTCTGTAAAGACCGCCTGTTGTTAATGGTACTTCTAAAAAAATACTAAGTCCCTTCATCCAGCAGGTGGGCTTCCATTGTTTTTGATCCCAGCACTATGTCCTTCCCAGTAGCTGTTTGCTAGTTCAGGCTAGAGGAACTGAACTAGTTCAAGCCATTTACCAAAATATGAAAGCTTGGATCCAACAGAGGCTGGCAGAGGAGTTGATAGGTGATATTTCTGTAGAAGGTTTGCATTAATCTCCTGTTGCTTTGGAGGGTCCCCTAATCCTTGAAAGCTGCAGTTCAGGAAGTAGAAGGAGGAATGGCAAAGATAAACTCTCCACCCTCTTCTTCCAGAGCAAGGTGAACTTCAAATAAGCACTAATTTTATTTATTAGATTTAAAAACCGCCCATCTAGAACGTTTCTACTCTGGGCGGTTTGCATATAATATAAAAATAAACTAAGATAAAATCCAGATTAAGCCAAGATGGGAAGGGAAAAGGAGAGAAAAGAAAAAGAAAAAAAGGGGGAGATGGGCTAGGTAATGGCTGTAGGGAAGGCTGCCTGTATAGCCATGTCTTCAAGATAGTCTTGAAGGCTCTCGGCGAGGGAGCCAGGCAGATTTCAACAGGTAAGTTGTTCCAAAGGCGAGGGGCCACTGCCGAGGCCTGATTTCTGTTTTTTTTCCCACCAGGCCTCTCTTGACGTTGGGTATAACCTGCATCCTTCCTGTACAGTTCTAGTGGTCGTTCTTAACTGCTTTTGAAGGTGCATCTCTTATGTCTAGAAGGGTCTGTTCTTGCATTTCAAGAGTCGCTTCTCAAACAATCCTTCCTTGTCTGACATCTCAAGCAGTGAGAATAGCCTTTTTTTCTGGATGGCAAAGTACACTTTATTGCTATGGCATGTCCTGAATTAAATGTTGTCACTCTTCAATCTCTCAGCTACCAGCATATCTCAGAAGCACCAACCTTGAGCAGATGTAACTCAGAGTTGGCATATCATGGATTGCAGGGAAGCGCATTGTCTCTGAACCGCCGGGGCTCAGAGCCAGCCATCTTGCCAGAAGCATCAATAAGGAGCTGGGGAGGAGCTCGACGTGACTCTGAACCAGCTTTCTCGAGCATGGCCCAGCTACAGACAAACTTCGGAAATATGAGTGTATCATTTGATGAAGAAGATGAAGATGTGGAAAAACCTGTCACTCAGTGGCATCCCCCTAATTGGGCTCTTAGTAAAGAATTTGTCCCCAGGGAGGCCACTTCTGGTAAGCTTCTGGCAGGGTTAATGTAGAGATAATTCAAGGAGCCTTGCTTATAGTTCCAAAAGACAAGGCAGTAAATTTCAGAGCACTGGGAATTCAGACTGATGGGAAGAGTGATACACCTGGCTCTTCAGTTGTTTTACCTGTAGCTCATGGAAGCATCACTCTAAATAATGGGTGGCAAGGGGTTGTGGGAACTGTAGTCTAAAATAGCTGGAGGACAAAAATGTGTACCACTGCATTAGAAGTAGCATGTTTTGGACTTCCATTAGCTTCAGTTCACCTGCAGGCTGTTTTTTCCCCTCTCACACACTTCTGCAGTGTGTGATTTACATCCCATGTAAATCAGGGATGGGTACAGGCCCTCCACATGGGTGGTTGGGCTGCACTTTCTCATTACTGAAACTGGACAAGTGGATTCTATACAATTAGAATGAAAAGACCTCTGCTGGCATGGAGGAAAGCACTGGGGAAAGAGCAAAGAGCAATCCTCTTTATGTCAACTTGCAGAATTGGGTTGCCATCTGGACACATTCCCTCTCCCTGTCAGTAGCAGAAACTCTGCTTAGAATAAAAAGGGCCAGAGACTTCACTAGCATGTTTTGACAGCTCTTCATTCTGGCTTTTCTTCCATTGCTCATACTTTCTTTCCTGCCTGCTCTATTGTGTGTTACTTCGTTTTAATGATTAGTGTGGGAGCAAGGTCTCTGATTTTGATATGGGTTTTTGGAACAGCATTTAACATTTTTAGACACTCCTGTAAACATAATGCATTACTGGTCGGACTGGTATCAAAATAAACTCTTGACTAACTGTGCCCCTGTTGATTAGATTCTAGATCTCAGGAAGAGAAACCTAACACCATGTCTTTGATGCCAGAAGAAGTATCTATCAAAGAGTGTGCTCCAGCTTCTCTGGTCCCAGAGGAACCGAAGGTAGGTGTAGAGTCTGAAGAATTGAAGTGATTATATAAAATACTTTAATGAACCTGTTGCCTTAGAACAGTAATGGGCAACTGTGGCTGTCCAAGTGGTGTTTGTTTTTTGGACTGCAACTCCCATAGTCCATCATTGGCTATGCTGAGTAGCACTGATGGGAATTGTAGGACAAACATCTGGAATGCCACAAGTATTATCTTAAGATATTGCTTTTATTCTAAATGCTGGTGTTACTGGCCTCATGAGATTCGGCTCAGAATCCTGTTGGAAATACAGAATGCAAGGAGGCCATCCATCAGTTTTTGCAACAAGATTATGGTTGCAAAGTGGAATTTGTAGACTGTTCCATTAGTGTTGCACAGACCTGGTGTTAACTCCCCTGAACTGTGCTTTAAAATAGTGAAATATACCCACAGTGTGAAATGTGGGATAGAACAGACTGTTTTAAGTGAACAGTGCAATTTGTGTATGGTGGAGCTAGGTGAATATGAAGATGTTAGTAAATCTTTCAGAGAAATGCTGTATGTGCCCCCCACACCGCTATGCGCATATGTTCTTTTCCCTTAAAAATGCAGTGTACTGTGCCCTACTTCTGTTTTACTATCACCCACAGCTGTTTGTAAAACAAACTGACAGGGTGTACTTGCATTCTCAGTACAAACTGGATCATCCAGTCTTGGAGGAGGAAGCTGTGGAATGGGAGAAGGAAGAGATCATTGAGGAGGGTAGAAGGCTGAAGCAGGGAGGAGAAGGGATAAATATGAAGGAGCAGAGGACAGGAGAAGGAAAAGAAATTGAAAGGACCAGAGGAATGGATAAATAATAGCCAGGAGGCAAAAAAAGGAACTGAACTAATATGCAGAAAGAAACTGAAAGTTAAATAAGCTGAATTATTGTTCAAATGATTCTTGTTTATTTTTCTCCTGCTTTAGATCATTGTTTTAAGATTCAGCTTTTAGAAAAGTAATTGTAGCTTCTAAAATAGATTCTGTTTAGGAGCTTCTTGTTGTTTACTTGTTAAGTCGTGTCCAACTCTTCATGACCCCATGGACCAGAGCACGCCAGGCCCTCCTGTCTTCCACTGCCTCCCAGAGTTGGGTCAAATTCATGTTGGTAGCTTTGATGACACTGTCCATCTCGGCCTCTGTCGTCCCCTTCTCCTCTTGCCTTCACACTTTCCCAACATCAGGGTCTTTTCCAGAGAGTCTTGTCTTCTCATGAGATGGCCAAAGCATTGGAGCCTCAGCTCCAGGATCTGTCCTTCCAGTGAGCACACAGAGTTGATTTCCTTCGGAATTGATAGGTTTGTTCTCTTTGCAGTCCAGGGGACTCTCAAGAGTCTCTTCCAGCACCACAATTCAAAAGCATCACTTCTTCGGCGGTCAGCTTTCTTTATGGTCCAGTTCTCACTTCCATACACCACAACAGGAAAAACCATAGCTTTGACTATGTAGACCTTTGTTGGCAAGGTGATGTCTCTGGTTTTTAAGATGCTGTCTAGGTTTGTCATCACTTTCCTCCCAAGAAGGGAGGAAAGTGTCTTTTAATTTCATGGCTGCTGTTGCCATCTGCAGTGATCATGGATCCTAAGAAGGTAAAATCTGTCACTGCTTCCATATCTTCCCCTTCTATTTGCCAGGAAGTGATGGGACCAGTGGCCATGATCTTGTTTTTTTTTTTTTATGTTGAGCTTCAGACCATTTTTTGCTGTCTCCTCTTTCACCCTCATTAAAAAGTTCTTTAATTCCTCCTCACTTTCTGCCATCAGAGTGGTATCATCTACATATCTGAGGTTGTTGATATTTCATCCGGCAATCTTAATTCCGGTTTGGGATTTTAGTTTAGGAACTAGTGCTTTGTATTTCAGTTTCTGGAATAGATTTGTAAAGTGGCTTTTTAAATGTTTGACCTGCAAACTCTCCTGAAAACTAGTGCTAAATATTTGGTGCTAAATCTCTGAGCACTTTAACCATACCTTTGCCCAAAAGTGTAAATAAGTTATCAGAGTAGTTTAATGCAGTTCGCATGTTTGTAGCATCTGGCTCTCCTTTTTTCTGGTTTACTTTAGCAAAGTTTGGACAGGACAGAGACGTGTATTTTGAAAGGCACATGGGAGTAGTGAAAGAGAATGGAAACTGCATTTGAGACTAGGAAGGATAACAGGATATTACTTGTATTTCTATAATTTGTATTCCTCGGTTTGAGTCTCTTAATACATAGGCTGCATAATCAAACTCAGCCTTAACAGATATAAACTACTGAATGGTGAACAGAAAGAAAGCCAAGTTTGGAGGTATTCATTAATAAATGGAGCAAGCACAGACCATAGGTGAATGAACTAGTCTTCAGAGGCTGAAGTAGTCAGGGCAGTTTTACAACATACTAACCAGCTGTGATGATCTTTTGCAGGCAGATGGTGGTTCTGGATCATCTGCAGCAGCTGTTGCAGCTGCAGTGGCACAGAGTGAGGATGTGGTATGTGGCATCTGCATGGACAAAGTTTCTCAGAAGACCTTACCTGAGGAACGTCTCTTTGGCATTCTTCCTAACTGTACTCATGCTTATTGTGTTGGCTGTATTCGGAAGTGGCGGAAGAGTCGGGACTTTCACAGTGCGGTGATAAAGTAAGCATTCTATGCTTGCGTAAACTAACCTGTCTGGCAGGTTGCCATCAAGAATATCTAAAAAATTTTGTGTTGGCTTCCTCCTGTGTAGTCTTTGTGACCCAGACGAAGCTGTTGGTGAGAGAGAATAAAATAGTAGCACACTCACATCCCTGCAATCACTTGTGAGCAACTTACTTCCACATTCTGTGGTTGTGAACGCCACAACATTATGGGGAACTGATTGGGTCAGGTCTTTTCCATTCTGTTGGGAGAGTGTTAGTCAGCTACACCTATGAGGTGATATTTTCAATGGGATTATGATTCTTTTTATATACTCTATGTAATTGCATTTATATTCTTTCTTCCAATGATCAAAGGGCTCCATTCATGGCTCTTCACTTCAAGTGGTGAAAGAGTGTCATTGACCTAGGTTATCTATTGAGCTTCATGGCTTCCTGGCACTTAAAAACTTGATTTTCCCCAGTGCAGTACTCTTAACTCATACACAAAAGCCACATTGTTTTGGAAGCTATACATTAATGTGAAGTGGGCATGGAAAAGCTTCTGGAAAAAGAAGCACCTGTAGATTGAGTTCTCCACCTATTTAGAACTCACCCTTTTGCATAAGATCATAGAAGATACAGTAGTTCATAAATTGTAACTGAAACGTCTGCCTTGAAAGTAGTATTCTCTGAAATAAAATAAATCTGGCAAGCTGAACAAATATAAAATGTACTATAAAGGGTCTTTGTGTACTGCAACTGTATGAGGTAGACTGAGTAAGTGAAAATAATGTACTGTACATGAAGTGACATACATGTTGACTGAGCTCTTTCTGTAGATGGACCAAAAACTCTGCAGGGTCATGCTTGGTGTCTGAATCAGTTGTCTGACAGATTTAAGTGACAGGTTAGCATCACTTTCCTTAGGACAAAAACATGACATTCATAAATCACTCCATGCAGTTGTGTGGGGAAAGCAAAGAGTCTGTTGAAATTCTTGTAAATTAGTATGTGTGAAACAGTTTTGAGTCTCTGGTTATGTCCTTATCACAAATTTATCTCATTTCAAGATGGAAATGTGTGGAGTCATCTGGCCTTGATTTGATTTCCAGAGGCTGTTGGTAATGAGAAGGGACCTACTGGACTGAAGAGTTCAATGAATTATGAATGTATGTTCATTGTACAGGGGCTGCCCAGAGTGCAGAGTCACTTCAACATACTTTATTCCCAATAAGTACTGGGTTTTTGAGTCAGAAGAGAAGGAAAAACTGATTGAATCTTTCAAGGCACGGACCAGGTAAGTGGCTGCCTTCTCAGCAAAAATTATCCATTACTAGTGCTGCTAAAATATTGGGATAAAGCTTCTCCAACCTCCTGCTTTGTAGATGATTTGAACTATAGCCCCCATTACCCCCAGCTAGGGTGTTATCCATTAGGTTGGGAAAGGTAAAGCTTACAATCTTATATTTGCCAGTGCAAAAGCTGGAGGAAGATGGAGCCAGCTGTAAGCTTCTTGAAGTGGAGTGTGTCCTGTGTGGTTAAATACTTTAAGACTTGAAGGATGTTTGTCTAGACTTGCTTAAGGATTAGCTGCAGATTCCCATTAGTGCTTGTTGAATGAGGACGTCATTGTGACAGTCCCTTCACAGTTGAACTTGTTTTGTCACAGTGTCTTGGCATTGTGGCAAAGCAAATTTTGTTCTGCCTAACAGTATTAATTTTCAGAAGGGGTGGGGACCATGTGGTTTCTACATGTTGAATTGCATATCCGATCAGCCCTCACGAATATGGTGTGGTTAAGTGTGAATGCTGTTGCAGTTGAAAAACATTTGGAGGGCTACATGACACACACCCCGGGCAGTCCATAGGCTTTATTCACATTTGCAACCATTGTTGGCTTTCTGCTTCCTTTAGATTGTTTCCATGTGCACGGTGCAATTTGGCCTAGCTACCATTATGTCATAAAATTTGAATGTTCCTCCCTTTATTCCTCTAATTGAAAAGTCCTATTGTTGGAAGAATTAGTGCTAAGGATTACATTGACAGTCTTGCATGATATTCTTGCGCGAGCAACTCATGTATTTTGCTTACATTGTGTTCCAATCATTATTTTCTCTGTAGCAAAATAAGATGCAAATTCTTTGTGAGAGGCAATGGTCATTGCCCCTTCAAATCAGAATGCATCTACCTCCATGAGCTTCCTGCAGGCCATCTCCCTGCTGCAAGGCCACGACAGAGATCTGACCGGCGGAGGCGGCAACCTGTTGTAAGTATTACTTCCTTAATACACTTAAGATAAAAAAGCCATGGAAGCTGGTCACTGTATATTAAAATGAACTTCCATGGGCTGCCCCAAGACATTCTACACTCTGAAACCCATATACACCAGGATCCCAAGAAACCTGTAGGGTAGTGGTTCTCAACCTTGGGTAAACTAGGTGTTATTGGACTGCAACTCCAAGAAACCTCAGCCAGCATAGCTGGTGGTGAAGGTTTCTGGGAATTGCAGTCCAAGAACAGATGGGCAGATTCAGAGCTTGAGAATGCTCCTGTTTTATTAGGCATCCTTCCGTCTCGAGAGACTATGGTAATGTGCTCTGTATGGAGGACTTGGAACAGTGTCTAGTGTGGCTGAGAAGGCCAGTTCAAGAGTGACAATTCTTTGCACACTGATGACAGATACAATCTGTCCCCTCTCCAGCCCCCTGATTTTGCTGGTTTCAGGACTCCCTCTTTGCCTCGGCCTGCTGGACAAGGGTCTCTTCAAAATGGGAGAGGCCATGTTGCATCGCCTGCCTCTAGGCTGAATGCTCAGATGTCAAGCTTTCCCATCTGTTTAGGTCCATTCCTAAGGCCTTCAGATCCTTCTTGCAGATATCCTTGTATCACCGGCTCTATAGACCTGGATCTTGGTATATGCTGTCAGCTTCTTATTAAGCCATACCACGCCTAGAGTGGTCTAGTATGACCAGATAGGCGGGATAGAAATAAAATAAATAAATAAATTTGTGAGTCTAGACTCTAGAGAACATGGCAGCTGCTTTGCCAGTGCATTTCTCCAGCTCGACATCTAGGGAGAGGGTGTCAGAGATCGTTGAGCCAAGGTACACAAAGTCATGAACAACCTCCAAAGCACTTCAACATTGTTTTATATTACAAACCTTCAAAATCCTCGTCAGTGTATCTTTGGCTCTTGGCAGGCTTCAGGTTTATGGTGTGTAATTTGGTTTTTCATAATGAGATCCTGAGGCTCTGCTAATTGGAGTGCAAATGCAGAATACTGTCTCACAGCAGATGTACACGAAGTGGAATTAAGAACAGGGAGCCTATGAGCAACAGGCCTCAGATCAATAATTTGTTTTTTGGTGTTGGTGTTCTTTATAGTTCTTTCACACAAATGTCCACTCCTGGTATTAGAATGCAGTGTCAAAATGCACATTCATTAATATGTAATATTGCCTTTCTGACTGTGGTTAGGCTAGCATTAGTCATACCTATTTATAAAGCTGTATTTTTCCAAATATTGTAGATAACAAACAGCAGACTCTTCTGATTATCCATATTGGGTATATAACCTTGCTTATGTCTGATAAAACCTATCCTTGCAACAGAGCTATTTGCTTACTGATTAATGGTGTGATTTCAGCTCTTATTTTTCTCTGTGTCCCCATCTGCAGGTCTTCACCCTGTCTCCATCTGAAAGCTCAGATGATGATGATGACGACGACATGTACCTTGTGCAGTGGGCCCTTACCTTTGCGCTGTTACACAGAGATTCAGATCTTGATCTGTCAGATTTTCTCTGGGATTCGAGTGATTCTTCGGACTAGATGAATAGACCTTCACTGAAGGCTGTGTTTTTCTGGTTCAGAGAACAGTTGTATGAAACTGTGTCTAGGAGGAAAAGTGTATGATGAGAGACTTCCTGACTCTTGATCAACTTAGTGGGCCTTACATGTTTGGCAGGTCTTACAGTATTTTGACTGGAATCAATTAACTGAGAGTAGATAATGCAGGGTTCATTCTGTTTTGAGGGAGTGGGGGAAGCCTCCTGATCCAAAGGGAAAGATAGTGCTTTCAGCGTTGTCACCATGTGATATTTTATGTCTCACAAATTGCACTGCAATCTTTCTATCTTTTGCTTACCTACATATTCACATTTCTTCCCTCCATGCCCTTATAATTAAATCATATCTTGAAATTCTCAGCATGAAATCTCCCAGTTGTCTCTCTTCTAGAAAGGTCTCTGGATTTTCTGGGGCTCAGACAATCTCTGTGTATTCTGGAGAGGCCAAGTGATTGGATATATTCATCCTGCTGCACATTTTCCTCAGGAAGGCAAGTTTGCCTAAACAGTGCTCTCTTCTAGAGCTAGCATAACCTGCATCTTACAATTGTATAGCAGTCCTGGTTTTTTGTGTCTGTATAGGAGGCTGTGGGGGTATGGTATAAGCTAAACCTTGAATTTTTATTGATCCAGTGATCAATTAGTGTCATAGGCTTAGATCTCATAATTAAATCCTTAGAATCAGGGATCGGTAAGCCCCTATATTGTATTTTTAATTCTAGAAGAATGTGGAGAATATGAAATAAAATGAGCTTTAAAAATGTAGTTATGCAAAATTGCCTTTTCTTTCTTGTACTGAGAGATAACAGCAGTAGATTCAAATAGAAACATGGACACAAAGACAATCAGAAATAATTTCTTTGCTTTAACTGAGAGGTGAAGGTCATCTTAGCACTGAAGCGTGCCCTGTGAATGGATATAGCAGGCAGAAGGGGAATAATAGTGCTAGGCAGAGAGCTGTCACTGTCCAACAGAGAAAGCAACACAGGAGTAGTGCAGTCTCTACAACATTCTTCAGCATGTAAATTCGTTAGCGACACTGAAGTAAACATCTGAATAAGTATGGCTTTGTGTTGGTACATCATGGCAGGAAAATAGCATGAGCAATGAAGATATTGGAATTGTAAATCACAAGCTGAATATGAGCCAGCTGTATGATGTGGCTTCAGAAAAGGCAAATGCTATTTTAGGCTGCATGAACAGAAGTATAGTCTCTCACTCCCATGAAATATTAATCCCCTTCTATTCAGCACTGGTTATGCCTCTTCTTGGGTACTGTGTCTAGTTCTGGATACCATACTTTAAGAAGGATGCTAACAAATACTTGAAAGATTGTCATCCAAAGAAGGGCAGGACACAATTCTCTGAAGTTACAGGAGCCCGGATTTGGTTGAATATTGGGAAAGAAATCCTAAACTTTAAGAGCAGTACCAGTATGGCAGTGGAACCAATTACCTTGGGAGGTAAGGAGTGCTCCAGTGCTGGAGACATTCAAGAGAAAATTGGACAACCATCTACCTGAAGTCCTTTGATTTGGGTTCCTGCATTGAATGAGACTGTATTTGATGGCTTTTTAGGCCCCTTCCAACTCCCATTATTTTATGAAAATAACTTGAGCCTTCACTAGAATACTAAAAACAGCCTTACAAGAATACATTAAAAATAGAACTTCTATATCTCATCTTTCTACTGGAGGACTTGATGGTAGTTTCTATGGATGTTTTGTGATCAACTAAATTTCCTTCATCAAACCAGTGTGCTCTCCTACCTCAAAACTATCTCTGGCTCTAGATCAGAACAGGGAAACCTTCAGCTCTTTGTGAACTGCCACTTTGCCACTGGCCAGGATGAAAAAGGCTGATGGGGAATGGAGTTTGGCATTGTTCAGGCACACATTTTCCAGCTCTGGCACAGCTTATGTTGTGATGCAGAGAGGAAGCCTGTAATTCTTAGTCTGTAGACTGAAAGCTATTAACCCAAAAGTGTAAAAAATAATTCATTGTTAAAGGAACAAACAAGGTCACCTGGTATAGTCAGTTTTCTGCAGTGCAACACAATTCTTTGTGTGCTCACAGATGTAAGTCCCACTGAATTCAAGTACAAAGTGGAGGCACACCTACTAGAGAGTGACTAGGTATAGCTTATTTGTTATTGTAAACAGGCTGCAATGAATAGCTACTCTGCACTTTGATCCTTGTAATAAGGAACACTGTACAGTTCATTGGGTTCATGTGTAAGAGTGGGCAACTCTGAAATTCAAAGCTTGGGTTCTTCCATAAAATCTGCATTGAAAGGGACCCTGAAACTAATCTAGTTCAACCCCTATTCAACACAAAATCTACAAAGAACGAAGCTACAGAACACAATTCATATTTAGAGATACTGTACTGTGCGGGACTAGCTCTGTTTATTTTTATTTTGGTAATTTTTTGAAATGCTGGAATGGATTAATTCCGTTCCCAGGCATTTCAATGGAAAATGGTACTTCAACTTACAAACTTTTTGACATATGAACGCTGTTCCAAAATGGATTAAGTACCCCTGTAGATGCTGTATCTTTATAAGGAAATTTGGGCATAGTAATTTTGATCCACCTATGAAATTATCAGGATTCCTGCAGTATCAATAGTAGAAAAGGGCTTTTCAGCAAATGAAACAACTGTTTTCAGAAATTGCAGCTATTATCTACAGTGGACCCTCTAATTATGGAATTAATCCATATTGGAACGGTGGCTGCAGGTTGAAAAGTCTGTAGGTTGAGTCTCCATTGATGTACAATGCATTAAAAACCAATTAATCCATAACCGGCCGTTTTTGTTCCATTTTGATTTTTTTATGGTCTGTAGGTAGATTCTCTGGCTGCAAGTCGAACCTAAATTTTGCAGCCAGGGAAGTCTGTAACTCGAAAAGTCTGTAAGTCGAGTGTCCAATGTATTTGGAAATGTGTTTCAACTGTGGAATCCTAGCCATTCAATAAAAGTCACAATAGTGATGGCCTGGAGCAATTTCTTTGTGTTGAATAATGTAATATGTAACAAGAACACAAAATTGGCTCTGAAGAGTACATGGTATGATGCAAGCCACTTTGGCGGCTTTTATGGAGAAATAGGAGATAAAAAGATTTTAATTAAAGGTTATGTTCCTGTTCCTACTGCAAGGCATGGAATTGTGGATTTCTGTCTGCTTGTTATGAGCATCTGAGATGTTGATTTTTTTGTGTTTACAGGATAGTAAATTTCCTGGTTTGAGAGGATGACCAATAAAGTTAATTTTAAGTTAAAGGAATCAAGGGCCAGGTCATAAAACACAATGCAGAAAGCTAGGATATTTTGGACACGTAGTGAGAAACGAAAAGTACATATGAGGTACTAAAGGTAAAAATTAACGGGAAAACGGACAGAAAAAGAGAGCGTCTGGACTGGGAAAAAAATCTTAGGGGCCTGTTTGCACGCATGACTACATGGTCGTTCAAGGCTGCAGCCGCATCCAAACTTACAATAAGCCTTGCTCATGCCCAGCTTCTGGTAGGAAAGGAAGAAGCAGCGTTATCTCGCATACAACCTGCTCCCCCAAGGCTGATGGATAGTTAGTTTAATTAAGCCGTCCCTTCCAAGATTACATCAGTGTTTCGCTGCATGGTAAGCCTCGTGCTTTAAAGCAAAAGTGGCTTTGAACCCGCTGGAACAAGACCCGGGTTAGAAAAGTCTTCTCCAGGGTCAGCAGACGCGCTATTGACCCATCCAAGCTCGGCCAAACCCTCTTTCTTCATCGGTTTCTGCGGGCATCTCTGGATTTACTCTTCTTGCAAAAGTTACCCGAAAACCGGAAGGGAGTCTTAAACTATCCCCGGGATCGTTCATATAATACGATGTCTATGAAACCCTTCCCCCCTTCCTGCAAGCTCTCCCCCGCCATTGCATTGCATTGCGTGAGGAAAGAGATGGCCGTCCCTTCCGCTGACATTCGCGGCCCGCATTTCCTCAGGGTTTGGAGTTACAGTCTCAGGTGTTGCAGTGGGCTTGCTTCTCTGACATGTGCCATTAAAAAAACCAACAAACACATTCTGTTTTTGCTTATAGAGTGAATCCTGAGTAAGAAGCAGGCCAAGTGGTTCTGTGTTTTTTTTTTTTTTTTTTTTTTTTTTTTTTTTTGCTGCCGCCCTTCTTTGAAGGGTGAGAGCATTTCCTTCCTTTCTACGGGCCGACTTCGGGGAAAGGAGAAAACCCGGGAAGAAGCGAAAAACACGACCTCCATGTCCGGCCGGGTGAGCGGTTCCGTCCCTTCTATCTCTATTGTTACAGGCGGGGCTTGCTAGCGCCGCCCTCCCCTTTGCCTGATTGGAAGTTCCCGAGCGCGGGAAAGAGGACGGCGAGGATGGGCGAGGGGAGGCTGGGGCTGGCAGCAGAAGAGCTACGGAGGAAGAGGTGAGTGATGAGTGAGGGGCCTGTTTCCGCAAAGGACTTCGCTCGTCCAGATAGATTAACGACAGCGGTGGTTCATTTTGTGGACCGAGGCTTGGGTTGCTTTTAGGTTTTCTGCCCTTCTAAATAATATCGAAAACTAAATTCGATCCACGAAGGCTGGCACTGAAATACTGTAGATAGGTTAAACTGCCCGTGTTTTGCTTTCCCACACCACACACACCTTTTTTTTTCTTCTGCCAAAAAACAAAACAAAACAAAAAACAAGGAACGCAAAATCCGAGTAAAGTTGTCCTAAGAGTTTATGTTGTCTTACTATGGCAATAGTTGTAATTCCTTTAAAAAGCAAGTCTTGGTTTTGATTAGTTCATTGCCGTTCTAGCTTTTTCATCATCTACATACGCCTTGATACGATAAGGTAACTTCTACAGTTTTGTCAGACAAATGCCACCTTTGCTGATTTGTGAGAACATGCTGCTGCTGCTACTAATAATAATAAATACTTCAGTGGTCCCTGTGGTCATTGGGGCTTTGGGAACAATATCGAGAAATTTCACACAGTATTATAAGGAGTTGCAGATCTCAGAAATAACACCATCAGGGCTACAAAAAAATGGAAATAAAGGGAACAGCATACATACTGTGCCAGTATTTAACATAATTAGGTTTTTCATTAAAACCTGTATCTGTTATATAATACTAGTCAGTGTTTTTATAATTTTGATTGTGCTGGTATTTTTGAATAATAATAATTGCATGCTGTCAAGTTAATTCTGTCTTATGCCAACCCTTTCCAGGGTTTGCTAGATAGAGAATACAGTACACAGAAGTGGTTTGTCATTCTCTTCTGAGGGTGTCCTGAGAGTGTGTAACTTGCTCAAGGTCACAGAAGCTGGCTCTTCTACTTGGATTCATAATGGGGAATTGAACTTCCATCTATATGTATCTATCATGAAGTCCCTCTAAATTCAACAGGACTTGGTCCAGGTAAATGTGCAAGACTGAAACTATACAGTACAATCCTATGTGTGTTTACCTAGAATTTCTGGGTGTGTCAATTGCCTTACTTCCAGGAGTCTGTACATACCCTCTCATATTAATGCACTAATGCTGGTTTTACCTTTCCATTCAATGCTGCTGGGATAAAATCCTGTATCTGCTTGATGCCGACTGAAGGAGACTCCTCTATTATGTGGTTCTTCATGACAACAGAAGCTAAAGTGTATACATATCATACTAGATGACTAATCTGGTTTTTCATTATTATTGTCTCTCAGACTGGACAAGAAAAGGAAATACGTAATGATAATTTCAGGACAATGGTTCTTGCTATCTTAAGACATCATGCTGAAACAACAATTTTAGGGGGTTAATTAATGACTAGCTGGCTTGATTTAAGTACCTTGCTGCAGAGCCAGAGGTTGGGAGTTTAGTTCCCCACTACATCCCAGAAGAGCCAGCCAGTGTGGCCTTGGGCAAGCTGCCCTCCCCCCCCCCCAGAAGAAGGAAATGCTAAAGCACTTCTGAATATTATCTTCCTGGAAAACCCTGAAAAGAGTCTCCATAAGTCAGAATAGACTTGACAGCACACACACACTCTCACAGAGACATACACAATTAATTGCTCTGCAGGCTCCATGAGTAAGCTCCCATGATTGTTGGAAAGATCACAGACATACACAATTAATTACTCTGCAGGCTCCCGTGAGTAAGCTCCCATGATTGTTGGAAAGATTAAGGAAATTATCACACTTCAAAGATATCATCTGTTAATTTATGCCAAGTATTTCAACCACTGAAAAGGTTTACAGAGGAATTCATGAAGATCAATAATAAGACATTCCCTACCTTCAGTTGAAAAAACAGATTGGCTGACAAATTGGCAGCTGCAGGGTGATAGTTAATGGCAAAAAGGGCTTCAGTTTGTCCTGTCTTGAGAAAGCAGAATTTAGTAAACATTTGACAAATTCTTAAAGATGTAGGAAAAGGCCATGTACAGTAGTAACTAGGAATTCATTGAACTACTTTGCAGTCACTGCACTGGGGCTTCAGCTTGTCCTGTCTTGAGAAAGCAGAATTTTTGACAAATTCCTAAAGATGTAGGAAAAGGCCATGTACAGTAGTAACTAGGAATTCATTGAACTACTTTGCAGTCACTGCACTTAACTCTAGAATATATAAAACACAAAACGCTTTTGAGGATATGTAGAGTTTTTCTGCATTGCTGTACCAGCACAACTCTTGTGTGTAGGAGCTACAATTAAAGGACTGATGGGATATTTTCCACTACAATTTGTCCCAAGCAGAGATAAAATCAAGAATATGGCAAAACAGAAATATTTGCCGCTTTGTTGCTCTGTTATAGCACTTCTCATTTCCACCTGCTACTTATAATTTATTTTGATGGGGAGAATTTTATTCTTACTTTTTATCGCTGATAGAGCACTTGACATTTCCTGGGTGGTGTACAGAAATTAAAAGACAGGCAACAAATGGTAACTGGGCTGACTTTCTGGAGCAAAACCTAAATTAAGTGATCTTTGTAATACAGCCCGCCTGTACATTTAACTTATACTTCCATTATTCTTTTGTGCCTTTGAATTTGATCAGTAGTGCTCGCAACATGGAAAGCCTCACTGCTCCTTGGTCACAGCGACTTGATAAACGGTCTCGTCTTCTACTCTGTACATTGATGTCTGGGCATTGGGGGGCCTTGTCTGCCTTCCGAGCACTCCAGCGTTCTCAATCTGGGGATGAAGCAAGGCAGGGCTTCAACTGGCAGATCTTTACACAGAATTTGTGTTCTCAAGAACCTGTGCTGGAAGGACCCAAGAAGACCCTCATCTTGTAAGTTGCTTAGATTTGTCATATTAATCAGTTTGGGACAGCATCATTTTCAGATGCAAGAATTGTTTTCAAGCAATTTGAATGTCAATGTACAATATGCTTCAGTGACATTGTAGTGGGCTATAGGTACTGTTCAGTCACAGGAAAGATTATCGTGTGATATCATTTCCCTGAAAATAAGACCTAACCTGAAAATAAGACCTAGTATGATTTTTCAGGATGCTCGTAATATAACCCCTACCCCAGAAATTAGCCCCAGTTAAGTAAAACCCTGTCCTCCACCATAGTGCAGCAACCAAAAAAAGATGACATAACTGTATATGAATAAATGTAGATCGTTGTACATGAAAAAAAAAATCCCCTGAAAAAATAAGCCGTAATGCGTTTTTTGGTGCAAACGTTAATATAAGACCCTGTCTTATTTTCAGGAAAACACTGTATGTAGTCTTTTCCTACAGAGGTTAGACTAAGTAGGCAATTTCGGTTATGGAAAGTGGTGGAGCTGAATGTAAATTTGGCTTTTGTAGTCAAAATATGGTGTGCATACTGAAGATTTTGTCTTTCGATCAGCAGAATAGGCATCATTAGTGGATCCAATTTCTCCTCCCCCTGCTGCTGCTGATACATAACCAAAATCTCCTCAAAGTGCAGGTACTGTGTGGAGAATGGAGGAGGAGAAGGGAAACTCCTGGGGAGATAGAAATCTGTCAGCAGATACAAGACAACAAGTATTCTTTTTTCAGTGTTAATAGTCAATAATATGTTAAAATAATAACTTTTATTATTGGCATTTCAGGGTTATTTTAAAATTGTAAACTGCTCAGTTTAATGCTTGCACTAATGAAACGGTATAGAAATCAATAAATAAAGCTGAATTTTCATTCTCGGATTAATTATTCTCAGTAGCCTAACTTCAAAACTGAATTTGAGACTCAGTGACAATCTGAACACACACTTATAAACTCTGTGGTGTGGCCTTTCAGACAAAATTATAGCTAGGTTTATTAGAACCTGTATACCTCTTCGCCCTTCATGTAGAACAGCCCTACAGATGGCCTTTGAATATAAAATCACATATTACAGGAGATGCAGAACTGGAGGTGAAAACAACGTTGCCAAATCAGGTTCTTATTTGCCTTTTTTGTGTTATATGTCATAGCTCAGTACTAGAGTAAAGGCTATCTACTGTGGTAAATACTGCCACACAGAAGACCCTAGATTCAGTTTCCAAGATGTCCAGATAAGCAGAACTTCTGTTTTGTTTTGTTTTTTGAACTCCCACACACAAACTCTCTCAACTAAGTTGGCCAGTGGCAGTGTTGACTGGAGAGTTCTGGGACTGTAGTCCAAAAAATGACATTTCCAAGCAAATGATATATGGTGGAACAATATCCAATGGTGGCGGAAAGTTACCACATTTTGGAGAGGGGCTGCTCAATGCAAGTATTAGATTTGGGAAGTATTCCTGTGTCTCCCGTGGTGTGCAGTTCCTGAGCTGTGATTGTACCATGAGTTTCATCGCCTGTGTTTGTTGGGATGTTGACATCACCTTGGTGAGGCTCTAGTAAGATTATGCCTGCTTCTCTTCCGTTTTGCCGTTTCAGAAAACCATTACTGCTTCTGCTTCCAGTGTTGTGCCAAAGAAACCTCTTTTCCCTGCTGCTCACACTACAATCTGTCGTGCCAAAAGGCTGCCTCAGCCGTCTGGTTCAGGTCTCTAGACAGGATCCCTGCCCAGATCCTTGGGTGCAAAGACTGAGAGATTTCCTAGAAGTGGGGCTGCAAGAGAAAACCTCCGTGACACCAGTCCTACTATCAGATGCATGTCAGCAGGAGCTGAAAGATCTGTGCCAGAAGGCTATGGCCCCTCGTTGCAGCAATGCTAATTCAGAAAGAAAACTAAGTTGGTATATTAAACCATCAGATCCCTGCTTAGTGCCATCTGGAAATACTCCTGTCTCTGGATCTCAGATTAGAAAAAGCAAGAAGGTTGCTCAGGAACATCTGGGTCCTGAAGAAGGAGAGAGAGAGAGAAAGAGGTCCCGACTAGATGCAGAATTGGATGTGCAACATCTTGAGGTACATGCTGCACTAGAGGGATTTAACTGGGCTGCCACAGGAAATGAGCTCATGATGGAGGTTTCTGGGAATGAATATGTTGAGAGCCTAAGCAACAATGTCTATCAGACGTCCCTGGAGGAAACTGTAACAGAAAAGAGAGGTACCAATCTGAGTCCTGAAAAAGATATTGCAGCGGAAGTTCCTGATCATATCAAGGTATGAAAAAAAAATCTTGGGTCATCTTACAGCTTTGAAACTAACCATGTAGATGTAATGGAAGAGCTCTTGTTACCAGCAAGGTCTGACAGTGATCCTTTCTCCTTTGTTACTGCTCACTAAGTAATAGTAGCTTCTTGGCCATAAACTAATCCAACCAAGTGCTTGAGCATGTTCTGCATCTGCAGAATGGGCTCTTTAGGCTTTGGTGGAAATGGTAAGAAGTATAGATTGTGGAGTCAAGGCATCTTTTTGACTTAGATTAACTTACAAAGTAGGTAACAAGGTTTGAAAAATAGGTAATGATTTTAGGCAAGTGAGCAACAGATCTTTCTGTCCAAGTATTCAAAAATGTTGAAATCTGGGAAGATGACAGGCATTCTGATAACCCAGCCTACAGCTGTGTCATGCCCAGAGGAATTCATAACTTTTATAAGGAGTTACCTGTGGTGAAAGGATTGTTTATTTCTATAGCATTTATTTTTGCCACTCTCAGATTTACAATAAAAAAGCAAGGTAACTAGAGTTAAAGTTGGGATATCAGATAAAGTTGGTTCTGTTTTATTTGTTGGCAAAACGTCTGTGTGAGAGAAAGAGAAGGTGGCACAGTTAGAGTAGGGAAAAAAGTGAAAAAGACATCAACTGTTTATATTTTCAGCATTTGATGAATAAGTAACATTATTGGTTGACATATCTGTTTATTTTTAACTCTTCAATAATTATTTACAAGTGGTTTGATAAGTTTCTTTTCCATCATAAACGCAGTTAGGAAGCCCAAATTAAAGACTGCAAAATGAAAACAGACATATTTATTTATTTATTTATTTAATTTATACCCCACTCATCTGGTCAAATCAACATAATTTAAGCAAATGTGACAGCAAATCTGCATGCTTGTATTAACTCATTTCTCTATGCCATATTATTCGGGGCTGCTCACATGCTTAAATGTTCAGGCAATTAAATCACAAGGGGGTGTTGTCTTCTAAAAAAATAGCCATCCCTTCCCCACAATTAAATGATTTTTTTTTTTTTTTTTTTTTTTACTTCAGTCACATAAATAGCCATCCCTTCCCCATAATTAATTTTTTTTAATTTTTAATTTTTGGCTAAGGCAAGTTGTTGGAAGGAGCTTCCCATGAGAAAGGAAGAACATAACAGGAAGAAGAAAAAGAGCAACCCAAACTATCTTAGACTGTTGATGTGACTGAGTGCCTCACAAGCCTTGACAGTTGCTCAGCTGTCATGCCTTTCTTTCCTGCACATTATGATGGCCAATATGAATTTAAGACAAAATTCGTGTTCTTTAAGGCATCTGATGTAATCATACAGATGTAATATGGGAATCGCAAGTTTTTATGATTGCTCTCTCTCTCTTCCTGCTTCTTGTTCTGGAAACATGAGAGTTCTTAAAAGCATCTGTCTAAAAGGCTTGATATTTGACTTCTACTTACTTTATTAACTATTTTACTTTAGATTGTTTATTTTAGAGCAGTTTAAAGAATATAGGTCTTAGGTTTCAGAGTGATTCAACTTATGTTTATCTCTGTATTTTAGGCACACGTACCAAAACTTAAAGAACAGTTGGAGATGCAGTTAGACGTAAGTATTTGTTGTTGCATTTCTACTTGTGACAGATGCCTTGTAGCTTTGTTCACACACCTACAGAAAAAATGTCCATGGAGTTGAGATGATTTTTATTTTACAGGTAGGCATGTTTGTTTCCCACCCTACAAGACTCCCCCCTCTGCCAAATAGTTTGCAGCATTAACAGTAACGTAGTACTTCCACAGAACCCTCAGTTGTCATTGTTTTGTGATCACATCCTCTGTTCTTACAGTTTTAAAGTTCTGTGTTTCTCTTTTTACTTTTAGCATTCTGATGGGATTGCCCCTCCTGAGCTGCAGATCCTCAATGATTGTACTCCAAGACAGGTTAGCAGGATGAAAAGAATGTTTAAATATATATATTTATAGGCGATGAACAGCTCAACATCGTAAATCCTGTGTATTGTGGTTTCCTACAGTTAGTTTTAAAATGAAGGAATTTCACAATATATTAAAGTCATCCATACTCCTCAGTGGTATTATGCTCATAGCATCATCCTATCACTGTGCAATTGTGGACGGATTCAGCGTGTCATTTTATTCATTCTCCTACAAAATAACTATATCACTCTGAAGCTTAAGGACTAACAAATTTATTATATTGGCCAAAATCCTGTTGTGTCATTACACCAGTCAACAGGAAATAGTATAACTCGTAGCTGGCTCTAGTTAACAAGTCGCTGCTTTGATTCTTCATTGCACACCAACTGAGTGACTTTTTGTGTAATCAAGAATCCAAGTGATCATTTGCTACTGTGAGTTCCACCATTTCCCTTCAGCTGGTGTAACTATGTAACAGAATTGTGGCCAGTATGTTTCTGTGCATCTGTTGAAGTAGACTGCATTTCATGAAAGCTTTTGTCAAATAAGGGTAGCTTTAGCTTTGCTAGGACTATTTGTTGTTTTTGCTGCAAAAGACTAACACTGTGCTGCTTGGGGAAAAACTGTAAGCATATTCTGTTGAAGGAAAGTAGGAGTGTATTCACAGATCTTGGGATCCAGGTTTTGTTAGTTGGTTTCAGTGGTATCTTATTTGTTGCTGGCCTAGGTATTAGGGATATTTGGAAAACAGATTCTTCTTGTTAATGTTTGTGTCCTCTTTCTCTTCCTACAGTTAGAGGGCTTGTGCTCATTACTGCAGCTCTCAGAGTGCCCAGACAATGAACTTCTGCACTTCTGCACATGGTTGATGGCATTTTCACCTGATCTTGGGTACAGTAATGCAGCAATATTTGCTGCAAAGCTTTTTCTACCTCGGGTATGTATGATGAATCTGAACTAGACGAGGACAATTTTTTCTCCTCTATCAGAAAGTTTAGTGCTTCACTGATTCATGTAATGCTGTCTTATGGATGGCAGAGGTTTTTTTCTAGCTTTTTGAGAGATGTGTTTCTAGGCCCACTACCCTTTCTACAGAACATGGAAGATTGGTTTTAAAAATGCAGATCAGTACATTCTGCATAAGAAGAAAAATATTACAGTGGTACCTTGCTAGATGACGACCTTGCAAAACGACGAATCCGCATGACGATGAGCTTTTGTGATCACTAGCAATTCGCAATACAGTGATTCCAATGGGTGATTTTCGCTGGACGATGTTTGGGTCCCTGCTTCACAAACCGATTTTCGCAAGACTTCGATTTTGCCACTGATCGGCGCTTCGCAAAACGGGTGTTTTCTGGACCGATGCTTCGCAGGGCAGCCATTTTAACAGCTGATCGGCACTTTGCAAAATGGCTTCCCTATGGGAAATGCAATCTTTGCAAAATGACGACAATTTTCCCCATTGGAACGCATTAAACGGGTTTCAATGCATTCCAGTGGGGAAACTGTTTTCGCAAGACAATGTTTTTGCTAAACAGTGATTTCTATGGAACGGATTATCATCATCATGCGGGGCACCACTGTATTGTTATATTACTTTTCATTTGCATGTTATTTTTAAGCACATTTTTTTAAAAAAATGCTAAAATGATCAAAAGTTCCCCAGAACAATGCCCCTCTCAGAAACAACTTTCTGGAGGTGGTTGTTGTTGTTGTGTTGTTGTTGTTGTCGTTGTCGTTCTTCTTCTTCTTCTTCTTCTTCTTCTTCTTCTTCTTCTTATTCTTATTCTTATTATTATTATTATTATTGCTATTATTATTATTATTATTATTAAAAGATTATAATAATCTTTTTACAAATGTTACCAGTCATTACGTTTTTTCTTTGTTTTCTCAAATGATAGCACAGTATAGGTAAAAGTTACCTGTAATATGTTACTTGCAAACTCTGCCTTTACTAAAAAGAAGTCCTTGTTCATGGGTTTGACCTGGTTTAGTAAGGGCTGTCAATTTTGCTTATACCGTGCTAAGATACACCAGTAAGAAATTACTTGGATATTTTGACTGAGTGCCAAACTAGATGTTATATGGAAAAGGCATCTTTTATAGTCTCTCAGCTGAAAAAAAGGAAGAGAAAAAAGAAGAGCAACTGTGGAAGGCTAGGCTTGTTAATGAAGGGATAAGGTGGTAGGAAGAAGAGGCTGTTGATCTTTTTTCTCCAAATATGGCTGTACTCAAAATTGTCCTCACTTCTGTGTTAGGGGAGAAAATATTTTCTCCACTGGAGAATGAAAAAGATCTGAGGAGGATTTTGAATGAGAAAACATCTGAGGCAAAGAAATCATTTGTGATTGTTCTTCCTTGATTCCTGATTGCAGTTTTTATAGCTACTTCTCTGTCTCCTGTATAATGCCTAGTTTGATATTAAAGGTCATTGCATTCTCATTGCATGTCCCCACTCTCTGAAGACCTGTTGTTATAAATATTAATATTAGCTTTAATCTAAACATTGGTGTTCTTATCTAGATAAATAAAGTTACCGATTACTACAAGAGCTTAAGATAAATTATGTTGGGTTGGGGGAAAAAGATATATTTATTTATTTTATTTTATTTATTTTTTGGACTTATATACCGCCCCATAGCGCTACAAGCACTCTCCGGGCGGTTTACAATTTTAATTATACAGGCTGTATAATGCCTAGTTTGATATTAAAGGTCATTGCATTCCCATTGCATGTCCCCACTCTCTGAAGACTTGTTATAAATATTCATATTAGCTTTAATCTAAACATTGGTGTTCTTATCTAGATAAATAAAGTTACCAATTACTACAAGAGCTTAAGATAAATTAAGTTGGGATGGGGGGAAAAGATATATGATCCAGGAAAGAAATTGTGTAGATTGAGCCGGCTACCTGGGATTTGAACCCCAGGTCGTGAGCACAGTTTTAGCTGAAGTACAGCGTTTTAACCACTGCGCCACGAGGCTCTTATATTATCTTATTATCTTATATATGATCCAGGAAAGAAATTGTGTAGAAAAGAAATGCTGGGAGTCAGGAGCAAATGATGAAACTTTATGGAAATGGTTTTAAACACATCAAAGGTCAGGATTAAAAACATACAAACAAGGCCCAGTAGCCAATGATGGATGGGAACAATCCTTAGCATGATAGTTTTCTCAGATGATGGTAAAGCCCGTTAAATTTGTAACTTAATCTTTACTCTGCCAAAGTCTATGTTAGAGGAAGAGCAGTTACCTAACAAGTAAGTAAATACATTTATTGATTTGGCAATAAACTGCAATAGCACAAAAACATTAATGTGATTACATATGGATTGTTTAATCTGTGTCAGTCCACAAACCACCCTGACATGCTGGTACTCCAGAATACTTTAAGAGCTGTTGATTTAATTATTCCAGGTCCAGTGCTTTGAATATTTCAAATTCCTTTCATTATTAGTGTTACTGAGTGTGAGCTAAAGATGATGGCATACCTATCATTGGCCAGCATTCTTTTCATACCAGTGTAACATTATGTTATGCTAGTGCAAATGTTACACCTGGCAACAAGGAATTGCACTCTGCAATAGTGGAGTGTGGCAGCGGACGTACCTGAGAGATAAAACGTGCTCCCCCGGTGCTCGTGCAACTCCCACAAGCGCAACCTCAATTTGCACACACATATTTACATAATAGGATTTGGGGCACCGTCTGGTAATTCCATTTTAATATTGCTTCCAGTATCAATGCGAAGTATCTGGCAGACTTATGATTTTCCTTTCAGCCTTTCTCATAATCTTAATTTAGAGCAAACTACAACTGCCTTGGTATTCCTGAGGTTGTATATTTATGTCCTTCGTCCTGTCTTGGTATGAAAATTTGTTTGTTGACAATGTATGAGGCTGTCCTGTCTTTCTCATGCTGTTTCTCTTGCTGACTGTAAGGTTCTCTCGCTGACTGAGCCAGCCTCCTGGCCTCTCACAACTGCCCTGATGATGTTCTCTTCCAAGTATTCTCGTCCAATCTGTTGCACCTTGATTTCTTCAATTGTGCAGGCTCCAGAGAAAGGTGAGCTTATCAGGTCTCCCAATAATAACAAGCAATAGTATGTTAGGTCAAGCTTAACTTGTTTTCAATTGTTACCAACAACATACTCAGGTGATTGACTGTTGACAGGGCTGCAGCCAAATGGGGCCACAGAGGGAGGAAATGGGGATGTGTCAGCACACTTTGATGAGCTCCGAGGTATCAAGAAATACAGAATCCTCAGAAAACCAGAAAGGGCACAGCAGCAACAAAACTCAAACAACACAAACCATTCTGATGGAGGGTGAATATGCTTTGTAAATTGTAAGAAAAGCCTTTAAAAAGGAAGCCAGTTGGAAAACAGAAATGGGAAATTTGGAGAAAAAGGAAAGGGAGTTGCATATGAAACTTGCTAATGATTATAGTATACTCAGGCAGGGGAGAACTGCCTGGCCAGTGTCCTGAACAGGAGGAATGCAATGGGATTTTAATAATAATCATAATCATAATATCATTATCATAATAAAAATAAAAATAAAAATAGATGATGACCATGGGTCAGAATTGGCATTTCTTCAACCTGTTGTGTCAGGAGAAGAACTAATGGTAAGGATTACCAACAGAGGATTAGAACTGAACAGATAATTAACAGAAAATATTCAACACAGAAACATCAAAAATATATAGTATGAATAGAATAGAATTGTAAATTCACAATAAATACAGCAATGATAATTGAAACTGAAGATAATGCACAGGAATAATAATTTGAAAAGAAATGTCTGATTTAAATAAATAAATATTAAATGGTATGCTTGAAAAGGCATAAACTAACGAAGGAAGCAACTTACATATTTCTAGCCCCTTCTGGCTCCTTCTGTCTAATCTAGTTACAAAGTTCCTTGATAATTATGTACTTTGATAACTCATTTATTTATTTGAATTTTATGTGCATCTATGGGTGAGTGTGTGTGTTCCTCTTGTATTTCCTTTGAGTGGCTAGATCAGAATTAATATGCTAGATTTTGTCTTTCTCTTTGCCCCCTTTTTTTCTTGCACTGCTACCTGCTGGCCTTGCACCATTGCCAGAACAGATGGATATAAAGTACTGTAGCCCTGTATATGTCTCTTGTGAGTGTACCAAACTAGCCTTCACCAGGCCCTTTACTTTCCTTCCCCCTGTAGAGAACAGCCTGGGCTGACACTGCCACAGTGAGGGGCAGAAAGTTCTTTGCCTTCAAGGTAGGCAGGATGTCTTAGGACACAGGATAAGCCTTACAGGCTGGCCAGCATATATGATCTCACAGCAAGAGCAGCATTTATGCAGAGATGGAGAGCTCTAGCAATGATATTAAGATCCAGGCAATGTGGGTTGCCCATTCCAAGAAGAGGGAGCAGCAGGGGACAGTGACTGTTCCCTCTTCTTCCCAGGGCATGACTGCCGCCGCCACCAGCAGCTCTTCCTTTTTTTCCCTGCAAGCAAAATCACAGGAAGACAAAAAGGTTACAACGATTCAGCTGCTTCAAGGGTTGCTGACAATTGCAGCATCTTTGGGACCACAGTCACATCTCTCCTGGCCTGGCTTTAGTAGTGAGGAAAAGACTTTCTTGCTTCTCCACCAGCATCCTCCTCCTGGCGGGTGATGTAACGATACCCCGCTGCTCCTGCCAGCAACCTGTAAAGCAGCTGGATTTCCTAAAAGTCGACCTCCCTTTGCTTGTCTAGGACTTTGGCTTCTTGGGTTGCATCAACATGTTTTATTATCAGCATTTTCCCAAAACAAAACCAGATATGTTATGAGTCCTTCACCTATGTACTGTATCTTCTTATCCTTACTTTACCAAGGCTAAGTTTCACACTAGCCATCCCTTCAAAACAAAACGAGATATGTTATGAGTCCTTCACCTACGTATCTTCTTATCCTTTCTTTTCCAAGGCTAAGTTTCACACTAGCCATCCCTCCTTCGGCAGAAACTACTGGATTACTTACACATTACCTTGCATTCTCATTGCCAGCATCAATGTTCTTCTACCACAGTTCATTTGTTGTGTGCTGAATATAGGGGTTCAGCTGGCCTAGAATAAGCAGATCAATAGAGATAAGGATGTGCTGCAATATTTTGTATGCCTTCATATGTTTTATAAACAAATCCATGCCTCCCAACTTTGTTTCTAGCTCTGAGCTAAACAAGATTATGGCAGTCTCTGATACTTTTCCCTGTCATTCTCATAAATACTTGTCCCAGACCATACAATGTGTTTGTGACAAAGCTGTTGTTTGAGGCCTAGCATAGTTTTGCCACAACATTTTGCCACAACTAATACTCAACAATGTGTAACATTATACAGAATGCCTCTGATCGTTTGAAGAAAACATATCCCTCCAAATCATCAAAATATCTTCCAAATCATCAGAAACACACACACACACTTAGCAGGCACCATTAGACTGGCTGGCACTATAACAATCTTTTAAAGAAACAAATTACCGGTAACAAAGGGCTAGTAATTGTGTATCCTCAGACTGAGGTTTAGTTAAAGAAATGATTAAGTAAGAAGTTCTCCAACCTATCTAAATCACTGCCTTTCCAGCAGCAAAGTCCTTGAACTATGTAATGTGCACACCTAAAGTCTTCTATCTTTCCTTTTGCAGGCCATGAGCAGATAAAATTGGTGTGCAAACTAATTGAGGAGTGTTTGGAACCTGAGTACATGCAGCTCATATTCAGGTAAACTTCTTTTCATGCAACAAGAAACTGAATATCGATGCTGCAGCAAGGAATATTTGGCTTTCAGTCGTAAACACATTGAGATTAAATTAGCCCCATAAACTGTGCATATTCTAGTTTATTAACCCAGGATTTTGGCTTATTGCTACACGTGGGCATGGTTGGTGTTATTAACCATTTATAGCTGTTAATGTCTTCATTGTCTAAGGAGTAATTTCAGTAATTGAAGCAAAGTCCATCTGTAATGTTGATTTTCTGTTCTTCTACTCCATCTCCTGATTTCCTTTGCAGCCATATTATAGAAGTGCCATGGTCTGAAGATCTCCTCACAATTGTGCATTCTTTGCTGGAAAGACAGGTACCTGCACACAGTTAAGTCTTCACTGGTATTTGGAAAGGTCTTCCTCAGTGTCTGTTGGATGGTTGTGGGGAGCAATGCTTGTAATCCCAAACTGGTGTGTTGCCAGAGCTCTAGTGACGGCAGTTTCATGGCTTTTCTGGACAGCGTAGTTATGTGCCTTGTGAAACATGTCTTGACTAGAATCTCAATTTCGAGTGCAAAATAGTTAAGGCATATAAAGTTCTTTATTGTCTAATAGCATCTCTGGCTGGGCAACATTTTGCTGACATGGTGCTCATTTGACTTATTACCATATGGGGCAATTCTGGTTCAGTCTAAGGCAATACAAAACTCCACACCTTCTTCTGTTTTTTCCCCCCCCAGGTAGAGTTGTCCACTGAGTTCTTCAATGTTTTGGTCATAAATCTTTGCCAGATGTCTCAAGAATTTGCCAAATCAATGCAGTATGCAAAACTGGTTCTGACTGTGCTGACCAAATACCAAAATAATGTAAGTTATTACAGTTGGGAGCTCTGAAGATACAGAAAATAGCAGTTTACTTTGTTGCATACTTTTGTTGGTGCATTTTATCGTCTTAGTCAAATTGTTCTGCTTTTAGTAAATACAGTGATGCTTCCTTCATTGGCTTTAGGAGAGCACAAATCATCAATCTTAAGGGCTGCATCAGAGGTGGGGACAGCAGCCATACATGTGTGTAAATGCATTCAGACTATTAGTAGTGGAAGTGGGAAAACAGCAGTTTTGGAGGTGGGCTTGCTGGCGATTGGAAGATACTTTTGCCTTTTCAGTTAAAAAAACAATTTATCATATGGCTCTCACTGTGAAATTTCTGATCATATTTTGCTTATATGGTTGTGGTGGTAGGTGTATGATAGAGTGGGCATCCAGACTTCCTACTTTCCAATTTGCTGTATACTAACAGGCAAGGGATTTTTTTTATCACCAGAATTCAGCAGGAATCCCTCCCTGATAGAATTTTAGTGGTTTTGGTCAAAAAATCCAAGTCCTCAAGGGAGTTTCAGGATCCTCACCTATTCCTTGCTAAGGCTCTCTTTGCTGATGGCCCATAAAGCATGGACGTGGGTGGAGACCTCTAAGCTCCATGAGAACAGCAAAGCACTAGGGCAGTTTTGAGAGGCACCCCATATAGGGGCTAATGAACAGAAAGCCTACCGTCCCAATTTTATGGCAGTTATGTTACACTGGCAGGCATAAGTAACAAGATTGTGGCTGATGAACCTTGCAGCAGTGCCTGTGTTTTTGTGCGTATTTGATTAGTATGAATTTGTAAAGCTGAGGAAAAGATTGTCTGTTAGCATACTTGCCGTAACATTTTAGCAGTTCTAATGACCTAATCTTAGAAACAATATTGCTAAAAGTGATTGAATAATGTCAGCTAGAGAGAAAAGTGTAATCTAGTTCTACAAATACAAGTCTAAATAAATATTTTGAAGCTTGTGTGCCTACTGTAAGCCAGGGATTGGCAACTTCTGGCCATTTAAATGTTTCCAGGCTGCAACGTGATTCATCCCTTCCATTGGTTGTGCTAGCTACTGCTGATGGGAGTTGTAGTCAGACGTTGCTCATTCCTGCTGTACATTAGCTAGAGGAATGGAGTGAGAAATAGTGGCTGCATCAGTTTGAGTAACTGTAGTGAAAGGTTATGCATTTGCACTGGCAAACACTAGGTAGATTACATTATCTTTTCATCTTCAGATTACATTGGCCCATCAGCAGCACTTATCTTGTGCTCTGAACGTCAACAACACCATCTTAAAGAAGTCTCTCCAGCTTGCACTAAAGCGAGTGATGTCCAAATAAATAATACTCCAGATGAAAATTTGAATATTTTACTAGTATACAGGATTCAAGAAGACAACCGTGTTCCTTATGAGATGGACACAACTAAGGAGACCTTTCAAGACTGAGCAATTAAATGTGGCCTTTGTCTTTTGAATTCTCATCTATTTTGCTTGTCTTTATCAACCTATATGATTTAACAAAAATGTTTGCTGGAAGAACGGTTGCCATGGTTCAGATTAGATGTGTCTTGGATTGCCACAGGTTAGGATTAGACTTGTTTATATATTTTAGGGCTTCATTTTTATAAGTTATACCTTTCATTTGTTAAAATATAAGCAAACAGAATATTGTGGGCGGGGGGGGGTTAGCAGCTTCCTTGGGATACCATTGCTGGAGCCAACAGGTATGTTTGACTCACTTCATGGTACACACTGATACGGAGTTGGGGAATCTGTGGCTCTCCCACTGTTTTTAGATTCCATCAGCTCTAGCCAGGCTGGTCAGTGGTGCAGTATTATGGGGAAAGAAGTTCAATCACAATGGAGAATTGAGGCTCCTCATTGCTTCCCTTAATTGTTGTTGGTGACACATGCTTTCTGAGAGAGGGGTGTACAGTGTCTGCTGAATATGGAGAAGGTACACTATATGAAATGTGAAAGAAGTAGTGATTTACATGGCAGGAAGACATGCAGGCCAATAACACAGCAAGAAAAAAATGGGAGGAAACCACCCACACACTTCTTAATAGGAGCGAGACTGAAGAAGGACTAGATGACTAGGTCAGTGGTGTGGAGTGAAACATCTAGAGAGGCATGTGCCTAAGAAAACAGGATCTTATGGGCTGAAGCTTCATTTGTAAACTGGTGAATACTGTTACTTGGAGTACCTTAAGTTTGCTGGCATAATTTTGTAACTACTAAGAAACAAGATGTTGTTACATGCTGTCAAGTTGCCTCCGACTTGTGGCGATCCTATGACTTGCTCTAGGATCCGCTTGTTCGTCTTTATGGAAGTCCACGGTATCTCTCCTTGAGCACCATATTTCAAACAAACCATTTTTTTCCTTTTATCTTTCTTGACTGTCCAGCTTTCATAGCCATGCATGGTGATTAGAGTGTGGATGATCTTGCTGTTTGGCCCAGATGACAGATCCTTAAACTTGATTATCTTTTCCAGTTCCTTCATTGCTGCCCTTCTGAGTCCTAGTCTTCTTCCAGTGTATGTTGGTATCACCTTTGCTTCTATTCCTTGTAGAGCCACTTCTACTTTTTTGTGTACAAGCAGTTATGTTGTTACAGAACTTGCATCAGAAAGCGGTATTCACCTGGAAGATAAAGACCCTCTGGCAGCTCTATGAGCAATCTCCAAAATATCTTGTATTCAACAGCCCTGCTCATTTTTCCTAAAGTACTGTACTAATGCTTCTGTTTTTAATGAGGTTTTCTACATTGTTGCCAGTAAACAATGCTAATCTGATCATGTTTCTCACCAGAGTTCTATAAGTCTGAGAGAAAAGAATAAGCTACTGTTCTTTATTGTATCCATAATTCCACTCCCTTCAACCCCATCCTATGTATCTTGGCAAAGGAATGCACATAGCTTCCTCTTCTTGAACCTTTTGTGTGAGATAAGTTAGAATGGGTAAGGAGTTAAGCAGCATCCACTGAACTTCATGCTTGAGTATAAATTTAAACTACAGCAACTTCAAGCCATTTAGTTAAAAATAATTGCTATGTCAGAAAAAATACATTTTTGAAAAAATAGTTTAAATAAGTGAAAGATGAAAGTTGAAGTCATTGAGTGGAAACTACTTTGTGGCCTTTTTGTAAGACATTTCAGTCACTTTCAAGTTAATCACAATAATATTGTAGAATAATGTTTTACTTGACTATTTGTAAATAATAGAAGCAATTCATAGCTAATTTTTGAATCAAAATCACATGTGCTGTTAGCAATTACTGTAATTTCTATAGCACCAAACAGTGATCATGGCACATACACAATATTATAAGCAAAAAGAATGCCAATTTTCGACACACAAATGTTTTTGAAATTTCCCCTTTGTTCCCTTATACATTACATTAGCTTCAATATGAGATGACAATTCTTCCCATGGTTCTGGAATATGTTTTCCATATTTGAGTTGAATTGTGGAGCAACGGCAGTAATAAAGAACTGTTCTAAATACACTCTTGACTGTTTCTGTCTCCAGAATAAAAGGGATGGTCTGGGATTAAGGAGTAGTGAATTTAAGCCTGCCACTTGATATGATTACCAAACTAGTTTTAACTGAGTTTAACCTAATGCAACCATCTGCATTTCAATTTCCCAGTGTTTCTCATGAAACACAGCATGTTTTCCCCCTCTTTTCCTGTTCTAACCCAACACAAGCAGCTCCTGGGCCTTGCTCAAGGCAATGGACCAAATTTACTGTACTGTATAAGGGTTCTCAATAGGCTTTTTGTCTACAGAGAGAGCAGAGGCTATAAACTGAAAACGTTGGTTTGCACCAAATCAGTAAATTCCATATTGCTTTGTTAACATTCTGTCTTCAAGAACAATGGTTATCTCTTTGAAAACTGCTAAAATGTTATATGTTGGTGAGTTTTTGAGCTCTGTAGGTCTTTTCATCACCCTTGGTATTGCAAAGCTGAGTGGAGGACAGAGACAGGAAAGTCCTTGTGTTATTCTTATATTGCTCTCAGTAAAGCCTAGGCACCCTGTATTACAGTGTAATTCTGTATGTTTATTCAGAAGTAACTGCTACTCTATTTAGTGTAGCTTTCCCCTAGTTAAATGAGCAGAGAAGGCAACTTTAGCCCTTCAATCTCTACTGGTCTTCCACCCCTAAACTGACTTCCTTTCCTCAACATTTTTGGTCATCGTGGGGAGTAAAGGCTATTTATGACGAAACTTACCCCTTCTACCAGATTTGAGCTATGGGAAAATAGAAAACTGACAGAAAAAAGGGTTAGGATACGTTCCTTTCTCCCCATCAACACTGCTGCCTGAATGATTCTTTGAATGTACGTGTAGGATGGATTATTACCGGGTGATTAACTTCTTGCACAGGCTAAGTATAATTCCTTGAAACAGGCATCTGGCAACCAAACAGCTTTTAAGATTCATGAAAGAAGGCACTGGGTCACATTTTCTCTCCTTTTAAAAAGTGTAGTCTGGCTTAGAATCACTTTATCCAGAGTTCACATCTGGTCTCTCCTCACAAAAGCAAGTTGTTTTTAGTTTAAAACAAAGCCACATGCAACGATGATTTTAACTGGGCCTGATACTGTTGTTGCGGTGTAATTCTTGTGCCAAGAATAGCTGGAGAATAAGAATGACAATCTGCGTTATGAAGGCTGCAAGTAAAACTACCTTTCTACAAAATGCACTGTGTCATAGTCCTTGAAGCAAATACAGAACAATGGATTTTCTAAAAATGAGCTTTCTTTCTTTCTTTCTTTCTTTCTTTCTTTCTTTCTTTCTTTCTTTCTTTCTTTCTTTCTTTCTTTCTTTCTTTCTTTCTTTCTTTCTTTCATTTGTACTATATCCTTTCTCCTTAAAAAAGACCCCAAGGCAGCTTACATTATTAAAAGATAATATTTAAAAGCTAAAACAGCACATATACTAATATTTTTTAAAAAAATTAAATTCCACACTAAAAACAGCAAACAAAATTAACACCAAAAACTTATGGTAACGATAAGACCTGTTAAAAGAATTTCTGCATGCACCTGTGTTACAATATTGCAGCTAGGAAAATCATCTAGAATATTATTGCAGCTAGAAAATGGCAGGAAATTAGCTGGATCACAACATCAATTTGTTGTCCAAGAGGATTATTGTGCAAGAAGAACTGGCCAAAGGTGTGCACTTTACATATCAGGAATACTATGGGGAAGCCCCAGCTTCTGTACAAATATCAAAAATCACAGTATTTGTTTTTAACTAACTATGATTTCTGAATGTTATCTGCCTTAGCCTCCTGCCTATCTATACCTCTCTGATCCAAATATTCAAGACACCCACCTTTGCTTCATTTTTGGTCTCTGCAACCAGTTTCCCATATCTTTGAAGGAATACATTATAAATACTGTTAATAACTAGAAGAGATGCAGAATTAGCAATCTCATAGTTCTAAAATTGGGATTGCTAGAAGTGAAGCTGGATTTCAGAACTATGTTACTCCGTTGAATTCCCATCCTATCCTATCTATTTCAGTAGACTGATTGGCATCATACCCTGATGCTGCTTAACTGATGTGAGGTTGCAAAGGAATCTGTGATCTTGTTCTTAAATGAAAATTGGTGTACATTGGCCAGAATCCTGTTGCTTAGCATAGCAAATCAGAACTAAAATAGGCTCACTGAATCAGTGGAACATCAGTGGGCCTATTCTAGTTGCAACTTACTACAGTAAGCAACTGGATTTCAGCCACTGGTTGTTTTTTATGTGAAGCCCACAAATGTCCTTGGCAATTAGACTACTAGCCTTTGGTGTGGCTGGAGTCATTTGCTTGTTTTTACTGCAGCTGACCGGCACAGCTGTTCTTGTGAAACATTTGAAGGATTGCTCATTAAAATAAAATGATTTTTACTGCCCAGTAGAGGGAGTATAAAGACATTATGCATTTCTTTCACATGTACTCGATAAACAACTGTTTCTGGTTTGGTTTTATAGATGAAGAGTTAGTTCTAATTTAGTCACATTAGACCTGCCCTTGGTAGGGTGTATGAGAGCAGGAGATAAACAGCTTTCTCAGCCATTAACCACTAAAGGTCTGTGCCAATATGGTGCATTTTGCATCTTTGCTGCATTCTAGTGTTAAGGAAGTGCCATCTTCAACCGAGGGAAGAGGGAGAATTTTTGCCACTCTCTGGCTCTAAGATGCCTTTAGTTCAATGTCTTGTATGAACAGCTACCTCTCTCCAACCAAAATTTCTTTTGACATATGTGTGCATTTAACAATATATAAAACCTAGTTTGACCATTTATCTTGCAGAGTTGGTGCATGGTATAATTTTGTGTTGCTAAACAGCTGCTCTCTCTTTTGCACTATACGAATTTAAATGCATGTGAGAACTGAAGTGTACATTGGGTATCATTCCTCTTAAAATCAAGCTCTGTTGGATCAAGGGCTGTTTCAGAATACTTCGTAGAAAAAGCCCCACAGTTTCTCTGAATTTCTCAAGCCTGTCATTCTTTAGGATGGAAATGGAATCATCTAAACACTTCCCCTTTTTAAGTAGACACCAGTCTAGGAAACAATGAGTCATGAAATCAAGAATGAACACATATTCTGGAGTAGAAAAGAGTGCCTGAGAGCCTTATGACATTTATGTATGTCCTCATTTAATTCCATTATCATCAAGCACTACTACATGCATTTCAAATAAAGACTAAATTGCTTTCTGTAAGCTTGCTCTACAGATATTTCTTAGAACTGAGACCTAAGCAAGATGCAGTAGCAGGCACTTTTGACCCAGTCACTTCCAAAGGGTGGTAAGATCCGATCTTAACTGTGAATAGAAATATTTCAGTAGTACAGTAGATGCTTCCCCATGCCTGCTGCAGGCCTCCTCACAGCTCTTGCCAAGTGGTTTTTAAGAGTCCATAGACATCCTGGGTGTTGGAGCTCCATTAAGAAAAATGTGCAAGGAAATATCCTGTGTATGTGGTGAGGATAGACAGTAGACAGAAAGATCCAGCAATCTCTACCTGAAAACCGTTTTTGCTGTTAAATTTGGACCCGCCTACTCTTCTCCCCACCACCATCCTCACTGGGAGATTTCAGTTTTTAATGCCTGCATGTTATGTTTTGCCTTAATTATGTACAACATAAATGTAATAGTAATGCAACAGTAAAAGTACAATATCTTGTGTTCCTTCCCAGACTCTTATCCTAGGAAGCCAGTTTCCATCCAGCAATTCTCTGGCATTATTTTTAACAAATCTTAAGAGCACTTCATCCTTGTACACATTATGTACTATGCTTGAATTACATTTACATTTAAATATGTTTATTTTTATTTCATTTTATTTATTCAATTTTTACCCCGACCCTCTAGACAACGTCTACTGGGGGCGGCTTACATAAGTTAAAACACGTTAAAATAGCATATAAAATGCAATTATACAATTAATTCTAAGCAACAGATTTCCAAGATTATTATAATGTTTAAAGCATTAATATGACTAATGAGACATGGACTTGGGTGTTATAAAAAAGAAAAGAAAGCAAATGTCCTTCAGCATGTTTACTACACCATGGTCTCTATTTGGACACAAGAATGGGTAGCTTGCTTCAAATATTCCCCCTGTGATTACAGAGCCATGATTATTCTCACTGTGGCTGTTCTGGGATATTTTGCTTTCATGAGCAAAGGTCAGGCTGATGTGCCATCACATGGACAGAAACTACTTGGATTGGCAGTTGACTTATAGTTCACAACAGATGATGGGCATAGGCAGACCTTATCTCTAATGCAGTGGTCCCCAACCTTTTTGGCACCACGGACTGGGTTAGCATGGGGTGGGGGGACAGGATGAAATGTGCATGGGGGCATAGGGGCATCCGTGTGTGCATGTGTTCATGCATGTATGGGGGTGTCGGGGGGGCAGGAGATCTGTCTCTGTGGCCCAGTCTTGGGCCACGGACTGGGGGTTGGTGACACCTGCTCTAATGGATGGGAATGCCTGGTGAACTGCCAGTGCTGCCCCCCAACACACACACCCCTACCAGCCTGAGATGGTTGCTTCACTCTTATAATAAGGGCTGGTTTGGCTTTTAAAGGGCTATGTGTATCACTGGACTGTATGATTTGGCCCATGCCCTGGTTCCAGATAGTAGACCTCTAGATCTATATATTACCTGTAAGCTGTTAAAATAATAACCAGGCCAACACTGCTCAGAAGTGAAATTTGGAGCATGCCTTTCAATTTTAAAACAAACTGCCCTCTTACCTCCCATATTTCAGAACCTGAAATGTACAATTTGTAAAAGTGAAGCTAACTAAGACTGTTTTTTTAGTCCCTGATATGTTGGGATCCAAATGCTATGTTTGCATACTCCACAGATCCTAGAGATGAAAGCACAGCAGGTTCATTGGGATGTCTGATAATACTTGATCCCAGTGGAAACTTGCTGTTGACATATGTAGCATCTTCTCCTTTTGATTTGGGCTTCTTCGGTATGGCATATAGTGCATTCACTTCCTTGCCTGAAAGATTTTTGTCAGGATTTATTTCATGTATCTGAAAATAAAGATAAGAGAAGGGTGGTATTTTAGTTGCTTGTTTCTTTGTTTAAATAATCATTTCTTAAATTAAGTCCCATTTCACACACACCCAAAACCTAGTGATATCATTAGTGGTTGTGCACTTCCTGTAGTCCATGTTGAGTTCCTGTCTACTCAGAATGAATCACGTGTTCTACATTACCACTTTAAGCTTTAGTGGTAAAAATGATGCCAGTCTGCAACTTAATGCAGGGCAATGGGACATTGTTCATATAAGAAAACATTAAAGACAACTGGGGGATAAAAATAGAATTCTACTTCCCTTGCCAGAGGCAGAACCAGATACAGAATCTATGTTGACAGAGATGACCTAAGAAAGCAATGCTTAGTTAAATATGTATGTGTCTGTGCAAATTGATAATACTCACGTAACTAAGTCCTGATTTCTCCAAATTTTTGAAAGGAGATTTTACCTGTAATGTTATTATTGTCTGTTTTGGGTTATCATCAACATTCGGGTCATGTGCTGCTATGAAAAAGAGAGTTTTCTTTTAGTATGTCAATGTATCTGTCTATGCCATCTCACATATTCTGTTTTATGTTGAACACCTAAAAACCAAATGTATCCCCCAAAATGTATTTGTGTTGATCACATGCAGTGTATCTTATGGATTTGTTTGTTAGGCATCTGTGATTAGTTGCAGCTCTTCATAGAACCATTGACCAAATTGCATTTGCCTGTACATAAAATAATAAATTGTTCCTTTATTGATTGCTTAGATTGAATGACACAAAATGGGCATGTATTTAACTGCCAGATCATGTTGTTTAGGACACTAAATAGCACTAGAGTAGACCCACTGGATCACTGGGGATTTGGTAAGTCTACTTCTCCACAGGTTCCATTGATTCAAATGGGTCTACCTAACTGAAACTTATTATGCTAATGCAAGTCACAACTAGAGTAGGCCTATTTGGATCAACTGAACTTACAGAGCAGGTGACTCTCAAAATCGTTTATTCAGTGGATCTACTCTAGTGCAATTAACTATGCTAAGTAATAGGATTTGGGCCACTATACTGGTTTTCTTAGGACCTTGAAGATGTTCAGATGGTATTCTGAAAGCTATCGTCTTCTTTTTTAAGTAAGAGGTGACTATAAATATAAAATACATGGACCTGACTCTGAGATAGTCACATGCAATAAAATGTGGAACAGTAATGGTGGCCTGAGACAGGATGGATAAGTGCAACTGCATGTTTTGCAAGACAGGCATCCCTATATCCGCCGTGCCATGAATGTGAGATATTAGATGTTTCACATTAAGAATTGTATCAGAATGTGTATCTGCATCCGGTGTGCTCATGTGTTGCTCACTAAGAAGATAAAGAAATGAAGCCCATCTCAATGTGTTGGTCTCCTTTCTGGTTCATTACAAATAGTTACAACTCTTACAAAGAGTTAGGTAAAGGTAAAGGTTCCCCTTGACATTTAGTCCAGTTGTGTCTAACTCTAGGGCACAGTGCTCATCCCCGTTTCCAAGTCATAGATTGTTTGTCCGAAGACAGTTTCTGTGGTCACATGGCCAGCGCGACTAGACACGGAACGCCATTACCTTCCCACTAAGGTGGTACCTATTTATCTACTTGCATATTTACATGCTTTCTAACTGCTAGGTTGGCAGGAGCTGGGATAAGCAATGGGAGCTCACTCCATTGCGTGGATTTGATCGTACGACTGCTGGTCTTCTGACCTTGCAGCACAGAGGCTTCTGCGGTTTAACCTGCAGCGCCACCACGTTCCTTTACAAAGAGTTACTTAAGGGTAATTGTTTGTTTAACTTTTATTCTGCCCAATTAGTGCAAGGCACTACTCTGGGCAGTTAACAAAACTAATAAGGCAAATACAATATATAACAAACATAAACAAAAAAGAGATAAAATAATAAAGACAAAAATCATTAAATGACATGAAATAAACCCACCAAGAGAGTCAAGCAATAGTAAGACAGCACAACTGAGATGCCATTAAAAGCCTCTTTAAAAACACTGATTTGAGCAACCTCTTAAAGGATGAGAGGGAGGAGATATAACAGAGAAGATGCATTGGAAGTAGAGGGAGATCATTAATACATATACTAAATGTTTTACCTGAAATATTTCATGAAGGAGGAGGAGGTTCAGCTAAAACAAAGTATTTCTTATTCCCAAAAAACCCACAACAACCTATTTCTTATTCTCTCCCTCTACTTTCTACATGTACACCCCTTCACTGAGCTTATTGAAACCTCATAAACTACTTAATTTCACTTTGGAGTTCAGTCCTGCTGCTGTCATTTTTAAAAAATAAACCAAACCAATATGTTCCTATCCACCAATGCTTCTTCAAGTGTTATTCAAATAAAGTATTAAGTGCTGAATTAAAAATAAAACAGAAGATACTGAAACGTACCTCTTATTTTCCTCTTGGCGAGCAATGTGACTACTAATGTGAAGATGGCAATAATTGTTATGCCAACCACAATGGAACCCAGAACCAAGATAAGTTGATAAATTCTGAAACAATCCACAATACATTAATTAAACTTTGCCTTGCACAAACAGGTGTCTGATAAATTTAGCAGGATACCTTTTATACCTCCAGTACATAATTAAGCTTTATCTTGATTTGAGAGGGTGCTGGAAGCATGCAATTTGCTTGGGAAAGGCTAACAGTGCAACAAACAATGTATCAGGCACACCACCCTATTAAAACGTTAGTCCTCTCAGGGACTGACCTTGAAATTGAATGACATTGAAATTGTTAAGTCTTCTGCGAGTGAAAATCAGACTCTAAAGATGCGCTTTTGCTTATTTAATTTGTATCAAGGTGAGTGTTGGTGGATCAAGCAGCTCCTGCAATGAACACAAATCTCTAATCCTGATGATCTTTGATTAGAAGTGCAAGGTTGCAGTTTCCAGGGAGTTAAGTGTACTAGCCTGAAACATGAAAAGTGTTGCAGTGTCTAACAAATTAATTTCAGTGTGAGCATTTCAGATGTATCATCTATTTCTTCAGACACAAATACGTCAGTACCTTTGACCATCTTTCCTGGTTGTTGACTCAGTATCATCATTTTGCAGTCCTGAAAATCAAATTATATAATAAAGGAGAATAAGATTCTTGGCTTTGTCATTCTTTACAGATGTTTTTGGATCTAATGAATTTCCTTACAGTACTTTGTTCTCTTACATTATGGATTACGTGAACAACATTGGTCTCCTTTTATGAAAAGGACCTCCCTGTTCCAGCAATATGAGTTCCTTGGTGGCACTTTTGAAACTGTTCTTGGAAAGCTCACATTGAGGGCATGAGCTTCTGTCTATGTAGAAGGATAAACCAAGCTGTCCTGGGGCTTCATGTAGCTTGAAACTGTTGTTGGGAAGGCAACAACAATTCAATCCTTGAATACAAAGGAGATTAAAAATACTTGGACATTTTTTTTAATATGGCAATTTAATGGGAAAGTCTATGCTAGACATTTATTTCTAGCATGCATATTCTCACTTTTCTTTCTCTAAACGTGTAGCTACCTGCAGGCTAAAGTAGTGCATCCCCAGGAAGACAGGACTGTATTACTTTTTCACTATGTGTAGATTCACCCTGAATTCCTCCAAGAACTCCCAATTCCTCCAAGGCATCCACCCAACTATCTGCAAGCACTTACTTTTTTGAACTTCTTTCTTTCACTGTATGTGTAAGGCATCCACCCAACTATGTAAGCACTTACTTTTTTGAACTTCTTTCTTTCCTACTGGAGGCTGGACAGCATCAGGGCTAGGCTGACTTTGGACTATCACTTCGATTTTTCGTAAAGGAATAATATGCAGGTCCTCCAGAATCCCAATCCAGTAAATCCCTGAATCTTCTGTCTCAAGAACTGATATGAAAAAGTCAAGACAGCCATTTTCTGATTCCCTTAGTGCAATCCTTTGGTCAGGATCAGTAGCAAGATACCGCCATCCTGGTCTTGAGAGACTGAAAGGCTCCCCAGGGTTACATTCTCTCAGGAGATCTCCTTTGCACCAGATTTTTTTTGCTTGCATATATGGAAGGGAACAAACTCCTTTTACACTGAGGGACTCTCCTTGAATTTTTGTCAGTGGTAGCAGTCTCCTCTCTGGCTCAGGAGGCCTTTCAAAGGATGAAATCATAGATACTGGAGGTAGGAAGGTTTTATGAGGCACTATAGGAGATGCTGGAGATGGAAAAGTGTTGCATGGCACAAAAAGACCTAGGAAAATACACCAGTAAATTATATGTAATATTGAATAATAGTAAGTGCTGTCCTCTGAAGATGCCGACCACAGAGACTGGCGAAACGTCAGGAAGAACATCCTTCAGAACTTGGCCAAAGAGCCCGAAAAACCCACAACAACCATTAGATCCTGGCCGTGAAAGCCTTTGCGAATACAATAATAGTAATCTTAATAGTGACAATGTGAAATTGCTGACCTGACCCAGAATCATAGACTGACCCTCAGATGTTTGCTACATAGTGGAGTATAGCAAGCAGAAAATCCCAGAAAGTTTGAGGGTTATTAATTTGTACTTTTAAAGCTATTCTGATTCATAAAAATATAAATATGACTGCATAAGGTGAACTAAAGCATTATGTTATACTATGGTTCATCTAAACTGACTATATGTGAACATGGGTGCACTTGCCTGACCTAGATGCTGAGATTGCTGGCAGGTGGGGTGTGAGAGGTTTGGTTTACCAAGCGATACCAGCCACCCCTAGATCTAACAGGTGGGGAAGAGAGGTTTAAGCCTTGCAGTCCTTACAGACTGAGATATGGGCTGGTGTTTATATTCCTGATCCCTGCTTCCCCATATCGCAGCCCTTCATAAAGCCTTCAGAGCCGAAAAGGTTGGACATTCTTGCACTAGTCTGGCAGTATTGCCCGCAGGCTGATTATTTTCTTAGCAAAATACTATGGACACATCACTACCACAGATGAAAGGTATTTTAATAGTAATTTCCCTGGAGCTCTGGCAACTGTTGTTCTGCTTGGTAGAGGGAAAGATAATTTCAAACAGATAATTAGCACCCTCAAGAAACTAAAATTCTCAGGATTCTTGGAGGAAAGCCATGATATACAAACTGGTTTGACTAAAATCAGTGGATGTGAAGGTGCACCATTTGTTGCTTTCTAGTCAAGGAAAATTACATGGATTTCTGCTTCAGTGTGTACCCACTGTGGTGCCAAAAAGATGAATAAGTGGGCCCTAGATCAGATCAAGCCTGGATTCTCTCTGGAGGCAAAAATGATGAAACTGAGGCTGTCCTACTTTGGGCACATCATAAGACAAGTTTCTCTGAAAACGTCAATAATGCTGGGAAAGGTTGAAGTCATCAGGAGAAGAAGATTAAATACAAGATGGTTTGACTTCCTAAAGGAAACCACAAGCTTGAGTTTACATGAGTTGAGCAGGGTTGTTGGGGATATGACAACATGGAGATCTGTCATTCATAGGGTCACCATAATTCAAAGATGACTTTATGGCCCATAACAACAACAAAGCCCTCTTTGTGACCATCTACAGGGAGAAGGATGGCATAGAACTAAAATGAAATGGAATGGAATAAAATATCCCATACTTCTATCCATCTGCCTGACAGTAAAAATGCAACAACAATAAATACTCAACAGTTTTCTGCCTACTACAGAATTGTTGTCTGGAGCAGCTGCCTCAGTCAGTCTAATGGCAGGAAGCTCTGAATTCTGGGTCATGCTCTATTATTGCTTTCTTGTAAGAATGTATAGGATTGCTCTGTAAATAATAAGGGTCAGGATTCAATTGAAGAAAAATGAAGTGGAAGGGCAATTGCAGAAATGGTTTCTCCCCTTCAATGACTGTCTTTTGTATGACTAGTTGTGTCCTGGTTGAGAAATCAAGCATGCAAAGGAGAGTTTGCAACTGAAGTGAGTCTGAGGGTAGGGGAGAATTGCTTGAGTGCTTGGATTTTTGCTTGAATTGCTTGAGTGCACCTTTTTCCCAACAGGATTCTGGCCAAGGAACCTTGCTCTTGTCTCCCCAGGAGAGAGAAAAAGAAAAGAAAAAGAAAAAAAACCCGCTGCACGTTTGTGGGCTAATCTCATTTAAATCATCACCATGCTACATGTTCTATACTAATAACCATGAGAGGGAACAACTCTTTTTTCCTACCTGTTGTTATGAACATCGTTAGCAGCAGATGTGAGAACCTCTCCATCTTGTAGCTGTGCATAGTTTAGACAGGAAAATAATACATGGATCAGTTGTCCTTTTACAGGAAGGAAGCAAATTCCCTTTGTCATTGTCTCTCACTTACTGCTGTGGATCAGCACATATTAATGTTGACAAATTGCCCACTAGAGTTGACAAAATACTGTATTGAGCTGATAAGGCCAGTTCTTCCCACTGAATATGATCTGACTGCACAGTGGCTGTGTGTACTCTTGTGTATTGTATATACAGTATCTATGTGCATGGATGATGTTTGGGCATAAGAGTTGTAGGGATAGAGCTTAGGATAAGTTCAGGTGATTCTCACACTTCTGGGATCTATTTTGTTTTAATTATAACACCAATGGTAGCCAGAGTTAAGTATATAAAACACACACATTTGGAACTACAGAAATCTGAATGCAATAATCTGTTTCAAGTACAGAGCATACTGTATGTCCATCAAAAATACACTTGTAGTTTCATATATATACTTCAGTAGTATAATTTAGTTCTTTATTGTTGCCATTTATGAAACAGTGAGGAGTCAAAAATCCTGCCCAGTTAGCTGCAGATCACGCAGATATCTATCTATAGATCCTGATTTACCTTATGCCTGTCACTGACACAGAGATATTCCTTTCCATGGCATAGCAGCCATCATATTAAAAATGGGTAAACTGATGATATGCCCCAAATTCCTTGGTGATGCACCTAAAAACTCAGAGTAGGATTGGTCTTTCTCCCCTCATTGTAAGAATCTGAGGTGTTGGAAGTTATGTTGATTGTTGACATTTTCTTCTATCACTTGACCGGCTTTTTGAGGTCAGCAACAATGGTTTTTGAAGCATTTTTATTGGTGGGCATTATAAATGCCTGAAAACTGAAAAGGTTACCTTTTGGAGTCTATTTCTATGACCACTGCCCATACTAACTGCGGTGTACTTCGAATTATAGTCCAAAAAGTAACTTTTTACCAAACTAGATTTTCACCATCCATGTTTATTAATGTGAATGAGATTGCCAATATGTTAATTTGGATGGTTGAAGTGGCTTGTCATTCAGGTATCAAAAAGACACCTTTAGCTGTGCTGAGTGCAAATCATAATCAAGTTTTAACAATGCATAGTGGTCTACAACACAGAGTTCCCAGATATCTTTCCTCGTGTTATTTTGCATATCAAGAGAAAACATACAGCCAAAATGTTAAGTGTGTAGCAAGAAGAAATCAACTTTTATCTCCAGAGGAAATAAACATACTTTCTCACCAGAGCTTTTGATGAGTAAGAGTCAAAAGTTAGTAATGATACTGTGAAGAATGGAGGAAGTATAAACCACAACAAAGAATAGAAGCTGGGTAGCCCTCTGATTGTACAACTAGAAAATAGACCTTTCTCATTTGTAATGACTTTACAGCACTCTTAATGCTTGACGGCAGATCTAGTTAACTTTGGGCTTGTCTACATGGTGTTAAAGGATCAGGCTAAACAGGTGCAATCCTTGCATCCAAATGGCATAAAGGACCCCAAGCAATCCTATTTGATCTGCAGCCTTTGGCAAATGAATCACCTTCTCGACTCCATGGAGAAACCAAGGAAATGGGGAAAAAAAGTTTAAGTATGTATTAGGCCAGTGAATATTCACCGCACCATTTAAAAAAAAGAAAAGACAAATAGCTTGCTTTTCTTTTAAAGGTCCAGTCAAGAGCCTGCCTGCAGCCAAAAGCATAGCTGAGAACACTGAGACAACAATAAAAACAAAAATGCAAATGTTCAGGTTTTCCAAAGTTCTTCATCATGCTGGGTGGTACCAAGTGCTGGGAATGGGAGAAGAACCAGTATAGTCCAAAACATAGGCTGACTGTTCAGCCATGAGGTCTGCAGTTCATATTAGTTTGCAGGATGGCTCCATTTCTGGATTTTAGTTGACACCTTGCCCTTACTTTCACTCAGAGACAAAGACTGGGGCAATATACAGCCCTATGAGAGACAAAATGAGAGTGGTTTTGAAGAATGGGCCAGTCTGAAGAGACATGAGTTACCTGATGGGAAGGGATGGAGGGGGTTACTTGATAGAGCCAATAGGGAGCCCCCGCTCCCCAACCCTGGCTGCAGGAGACTACTGGAGCTTTGACCCCTTGAGAGGTGGTGCCATGACTACGCAACCAGTTTCAGACTCAGGCTCAGGATGGATATTAGAAACTTAGTTAGTAATGGCACATACCAGAAATTTAAGGGACAAAGAAGCAAAGTTCTGTTTGTCTGATTTGCTGGCAAAATTTGGTTTCGCAAATAAAACCACAGCAGTCTTTGCAGAGTGCAGGATAAAGCAAGCCAGTCCTTCTCCTCTCATCTGTTGGAGTCACTTCTGTGCCCCTCTCTTGTAAATCTTTGGTTTTTTCCTCCTTTCTTCTATTATATTCAGTTATGCCAACCATCTCCTGCTATGTTGGAAACAAGAATAGAAGTGAATGTCATAAAATGATATGAAACAAGGAAACAAAACCCATGACCACCACTGCCACATTAGGGGGGTTTCCAGGTTGAACAAGATACCCATTCTAGTGGGCGGCGGGGGCTTTTAAAACAGGTCTTTACTTTATGAATATGGCAAAGTTGTTGAAAAAATCATAACAATGTATTCTAAAATTCCAGGAATAAAATATAACACTTCCAGCATGTATACCATTTGAAAAAATGTGATTTGCAAACTGATTGCATAACTTTAAAGTCCCAATTTGCTGTTAAAATATTTGTGAAAACAATGACAGGAGTCTTATCTGGAAATCACAATTGAGCCTCATTATTACAGACTGTGTGGTCCTGAAATGTAATTCCCCAGCACTTTTACAGAAATCTGGTTACTAGGATTTATCAGGGAGAGCCGTAAATTTGAATTGTGAATGCATCTGCCATCACTGCTGTCTCAGAAGCAGTCTTAATATGTGTGAAGAGACAATTCAAGGAGTGTTAGTCATTCTGTATGAAGGCTGGGCTGCATAATATATTATATATGTGCCATGACCCTAGGAGAGGTTTAAATTTTTCCTCAAAGGTAGAAATACCTTAAATTTATTCCCCTCCCCTGTAAATAGGTTAAAAATGGGAGGAAAAAGTCTTTGGTGGTGCTGAATTAGGATACTGTATGTCTACTTGTAAGTAAAAAAAAGTGTGAGAAAGAGACTGAGCTACATGCTTTGTATACTTACATAATACATTGTCTACTTCAGTGGTTCAGTGTTTTGAATTTTGAAATCAGAAACTAGTTTTAGAATTTAAAAAGGAGGACAACAGCGTTTCTCACTCAAACAGGGAAGACATGGACTAAGTGATGCTTGCTGTGTCCACCATATATGTGAACTTCAAGAGCTCTCCACTCTTTCTTATTTTACGTAATACATTGTCTACTTCAGTGGTTCTTAACCTTTGTTACTCAGATGTTTTTGAACTGCAACTCCCAGAAACCCCAGCCAGCACAGCTGATGGTGAAGGTTTCTGGGAGTTGCAGTCCAAAAACATTTGAGTAACAAAGGTTAAGAACCAGTGGTCTACTTGAGCCTTGAGATCCTTTACTGTTTTCAGAGTGATCAACTTCTCAATAAGACTTTTGTGATGTCTTAGAAGTTCTGGGCAGTATTATGCATGTACAGGTTTAGGACCAGCCCAGTCATACAGATAGACTAGGTGGCTGCTCAGAAAAACATAAATCAAGGGCATTAAATGTGTTGGAAGAGTGGGCATGGACACTGGGCACAGTGACTGGAAGATTCTGGTAGTTGTAGCTCAGAAGGTAACCTTTCCAAACTCTTCATTTGCTAGCACAAAATGTAGTGAAGATTGCTAACTTGGACAGCTATAAAAGCTGATCAGACAAATTCTGACAGCTAATAGTCAAAGGTGTATTCACAATCTCCAGTACTGTATCCATATGTCTTTTGAACTGCAGCTGCTAGGGAGCACCCCTCCAATCCTGTCCTGCTCGTAGACTCCTCCTAAGTATCAGGATGGTCTCTTTGAAAAATGGGTTGCTAGGCCAGCTTTCCCAACCTGATGTCCACCAGGTTTTTGAACTAACATTCTCATTTGTCCCTACTAACACGGCCCGTGGTAAGAGATCAAGGAAGTTGATGCTCAAATCGTCTACAATGTACCTGTTGAGGAAAGCTAAGATAGGCATTTGCTCTGATGGTCCTGCAGGGTTCTTCTCCCATTCTAATACAGTATTCCTATAACATAATGTAATGACATCACCTGTGAGAGGGAAGAGCCGATGTTCGGTTTGTCCTCTGTTCCCATCCCTTGTTATATTGTTCTTCTTGACCCAGGCAATAAGTAAGATGGCTACAGCAACTAGGAATTTGAAAACCAGGAATCCAGCAACAAGGAAATGAACCTTGATTTCAGGATTTGACAGGCTCCTTTAAGAAAGCAAAAATGCAATGCCATGGAGTCAGTGATTTGATAGGAAAATATTTATTACAGTCCATTGGAGTGGAGACAGAACTTTTAGCTAAGCCCCTAATGATGATCATCAGTTTGCTTAACATGGCTGCTGCTCTTTTTACAGTGTCTTTAGCTCAATGAGTTGAAGTACCTTGCTGTGGAATGTTGATTTTGCATGATTCCTCCTAGGAGAAGAGGGCTTGTGTCTTATTTTATAATCCTCTATTTGAAATTCATGTCCAAGCCTAAGTGAGGTTTAACGAATGGATGAGTGAAGTGCAGCTCTCTAGGCGTCTTTGGACGGTAGCTCCCAGCGTGCTTCACAACTGACTAGGCTGGCCAGAGTTAAATGGAGTCCAAGAATGTCTGAGGAGCCATTCTTGGCCTTCCCAAGTTATGATTAAAAAATAAGAAGAAAACAGAGCAGGGGCTAACAGTTGATGGGCAATTTCAGACTGAACTTGTATGTAGTTTACTTGCTCTAAATCTTCTCCACTATGTTGCATTCATTATATTTCTATTGACATTTTAGTATTTATTTCTAAATTTGAAGCTGTACAAGTGTATCAGTTGGCATTTGCCTTACTCCACCTTTTTAAAAAGGGACAAAAAACTTGGCAAGATGAAGCTGCTGTGGATCAGTTGAGGTGTTGAGTTAGGGGCTGCCATGCCTTTGATGTGTTCATACTAACCTCCAGTATGAGCAATTATACAGCTGAGGATACTCCTCGATCCTACTTTGCATATCTTTTGGCTGTATTGATCCCCCAAACTGGCTATTTGTTTTGCTTTTTAATCAAAAGTGTCTGAAAGTGGAGATGTATCAACTTTGCGGAAGCTAAGCTGATCTGAGTATGATTGAATATGGGACACTGTTTGGAAACCACAAACTCCAGGGATGTTAGCAAGTATTTGGGCCTGAGTCCCAAGTCTGAGTCTTTGCAAAACAAACAAACAAAAAAAGCTAAGCGTACTGCTTATATATTGTGCTTCAAGCACTCTCTGGGCGGTTTGCAAGTTAATTATGCAGGCTACACATTGCCCCTCCCCCCCAGCGAGCTGGGTACTCATTTTACCGAAGGATAGAAGGCTGAGTCAATCTTCAGCCGGCTACCTGGGATTGAACCCCAGGTCATGAGCACAGTTTTGGCTGCAGTACAGCGGTTTAACCACTGCGCCACGAGGCTCTTGGTACCAGTTCCCAAGTCCAAGTCTGTCTTTAGTACCAAGTCCCAAGTCTCAAGCCCAAGTCCCTATTAAAAACACAAGTCCCCCCCCCCCCCCAAAAAAAGGTGAGCTGGATTCTGAGTTGCGAGTTGAGTCTGGGTCATTTAAAAAAAACCTGAGTCAATTCCTGACTTGAGTCACTGGTGCAATTTAAGTCCAACTTGATAGCAAGTCACGTGACGTGAGTCCCCATCCCTGTCAAGCTCCCTGTAGAACAGGAATATAGGGCTGAGGGTCTCTGAATTATTTGGAGAAGGAAAGCTAAGGATTTCACTTTTGGCGTTAAGATTTTGGATTAATGAGGTGTTTTCCCTTCCCTTCACAGTTCACTGTGTTTTGAAAATGTTTCTCCTATTAAAACTGTATTTGTTTAACATTCCTTTTGGCAAGGGCAAAATGGTCTTCACTGCCAAGAGTTTGCATTCCACATGAAATCTTAATAGAGAATGGAAAATCTTCCTGTTTGAGAGTCTGAAAAATGCTCCACCCTCTATTGGCCAGAGAGACATTATGCCATCAGACTCAAGGGTCTGGAGTAAGTTTCTGCCAAATTGCTTTGAAAATGCACTTTGAACAGGAAAGCTCAGACAAGGAATGTGGATCAGCTTCCTCCCCTCCCCTCATTTGTGTACAGTATGCTGAGAATTAAAAAAATCAGTATTGGAAGGAATCTTAGGCTGCGGTCACACCAGCAAAATATTTCCGAGTTACTCCTTGTTGGTTTCTACCCCTTTTTAAAGGTCCAGACAACACACAGGCCATTACCAATTCTTTTGTTTCCCCTCTGTGCTATCTCAGCATCAAATTCAGCCTCCTCTGGGAGGCTACTACTATTTTTATTCTGCATTTCATTGTGTAGTACAACAACATTCCATAGAATGTGCACTATATAGAACCAATTCATTTCCTCTACATCTGGTGTGCAGTCCCACCACCACCACCACCGGCTTTCGCTCAGCTTTTCTATCAAAATAATTTTCTTTTAAAAAGGATTTTCTTTTTAAATAATGTAATGGAATGTCGGCACATTGGTATGCTTCTGTCAAAAGGGCCACGGGTTCACTGTCACTGAGGGTAATGCAGCGTGGAAACAGGAAAAAATGCCCCAGATCAGTACATGGCCTGCAAGGTCATTTTGTTGACACACTGATGTACCTGCACAATTTTTTTAAAAGAGGGAGAAGTGGGGCAGAGAAACACACAAAAAGAGGAAGGGATATGCCTGCAGCAGGGCTGTAGACAAATGTACTACATCTAATTTAACTAAAAAATGTGGAATGGTTAAAAACATTCGAAGTACTATCATGAGATTTATGTTGTGTGACTTCAACAGGCGATTCTAAGGAAGCAAAAGACATGAGAAAACAGGAGGGTGTTTCTCTAGTGTGATCACAGCCTTAGTGTGTGGCCATCTAGTTTTTCTTTTAAACATCTGTAATGACGGAGGATTTACCGCTTTCTGAGGTAGTGTGCAAAGAATGGCATTAACATAGTACAATCAATTTTCATGGTCATGTGTCAAAATCGGTTCCAGCTGATGGTCACCCAGTGAGTTAATGACCTCCAAAGAGTGTTGTCATTAATAGTTGCACTCTGGTTTTGCAAACTCAAGGCTATGGCTGTTCTCCTGAGTCTCAAGGCATGTCCAGACTGGCGCTTTTGGTGAATGCTGATGTGGTCTAAATAGGGTTGGTTGACAGGGAGGAGTGATGTGATCCTCATGTCCAAATGGCATATTGACCTCAAGCAACCCTATTTCCAGTATCCTGAAGTGGCAAGTTTGTGCAAAGCCAGCATTTGGGAGAAAGGAAAGGAGGATGGGTTAAGTACAGCTAGAAAGAGCAGGTAGCAGAGGTGGATAAAGAATCAGAGGCAACGTGGGTGTTGCAGTGGAAGGGGTGAAAAAGCAGCCAATCACCAGCTAAAAGCAGATAGACACCTGCCCTTTGCACTCCAGTTTGGCTGCACCAGGTTTAGGGAGGTGGAGGCAGAGAGAGTGGGGCACACAGAGATGGGATGTATGCAACCCCACCAGTGGAGAAAAACTTGTAGAGACACCCAAAATCAATCTGATATAAAGACCAAAACAGAGAGGACTTTCTCCTCTACTGTACCAACATGTATTGTCTGAAATGTACACTCCCCCAAATGTTCCAGGTTATTAAAACTATATCCAAGTTCAAATTAAGTGACTAAAATGTGGATGCATATTGAAAACTCAAGGTTTGATATGGGAATGCCTCTGTGAAAACTAGTGTGGAAGATAGGCATGAGTTAAGGCAGGGTATTGGAATGAGGCTTGGAAGCACCAGGTTCATGTCCCCAAAGGGCCGTGGCTGACTGGGTCACTGGATGACCTTTGGCCAATCCCTGTCGTCCAGCTTGACCTTCTAGTCACGAAAACAAAATAGCTAAAATAGAATTAAAATTTAAAATGCAACCTTTTAAAGGAGAATACTACCAGGACTAGGTCTGGACACTGCAAATCTTGGGGGAGTAGGACAGAATAATCCTAGTCATCCTTGTTAAATATTGAAACTAGAGGATCTAATAAATATAGGATAAAGCTGATTTGTGGTTTGTCTCATATAGAGATTGCCATGTTTTTATGTGCTTCTGTTTCCAGCCACCACAGAAGCAAAAAGACAGTGGAGACTCCTTGCTGCTTTTCAGGGGTTGCCAGTCCTTTGTCTATAGAGACAGAAAGAGAGATAATTTACTCCATATCCCCTGAGGTAAATACTGACGTTATTACTTCTGAATTTTTTTTTTAATTTGCACTTTTCATCCTGGAACTTTAGTTTTACTTTAGATGCTTACACTTCAACATCTAGCTAGGATTTTTCTTTACTTTTCTGTTTTTCCTCCTACTCCAAGGTCTGCATTGGCCAGCCTGAGGAAAAGTGTTAAAGGAAACTATAGAAAAAGTGAAGCTGTGGTTTCGGTATTGACTAGGACTTCAGTCCCCCACTGTGCCTCCTGCAAGGGGAACCAGCTTGTGTGGCCTTGGGCAAGCTGTACAGTCCCAGGAAACCTCCAGGAGAAGGTAAAATGGTAAATCACTTCCGTGTACTCTCTACCCGAAAAAGTCTTGAAAAGGATCTCTGTAAGTCAGAATTGCCCACAGTTGCTATTTTTTTTATAGAAAAGGTAATGGTAAGGAGTCGAGATTGTAAGGGAGGGAGAAAGAGAAACAAGAGAAGGGTTTTTCGTTTGATAGATGAGCAGTGGGGGCTTCTGTAGTTCTTGCAGCTCTATCTTTCTCTCCAAAATTCAAAGCAGTAGCAAAGAGGAAGGGAGGAATAAAATCAGAGATGAGATTTTTCATGTTCGTTCTGGTAATGCATTTAGATTTTAAAGCTTATCAATTATTAGCTCGACATATGACCATTCCCCACTAACTGACATATCTCTGCACTCCTGCTAAACAGCTCCTGTGGTCAAGAAACTCTTCCTAATCTTTAGTAAAAAAAACCTCCCATTTTTTGCAGTTTGAACCCAGTGATCTGGGTCTTATCCGTGCCAGCAATATCAAACAAATCTGTTCCACTACATGAAAGTCCTTTAAATGCTTGAATATTGCCTCTGTGATATTGCCTCTTACATGTCTCTTCTCTAGGCTAAATATACCCAGCTCCTTCAGTCTTCCATCCCGCGACCTCGCCTCTAGGTCCCTCATCATCTTTGCCATCTATCTTCTTTTGGACACATTTCACTTTGGTTTTGCTTTAAATCGGTTCCACTGCCTTGTTTCATAGGGATTCAGCACAGCCTGGTGTGAATCATGCCACTGGCTTATAAAGATGGTGGGATGATCCAAACCTTGACCCAAATATAGCGAATAATAACTGCCTAAAATATAGTAAATGACAGTCGCATTGCCCCTGAGATGTCCGCTGAAAAGCTCTAGTGGGTTACACTTAAAACAATTGATTAAAATATATTGCAGCTTTTGTATTTGTCCCCACCCTATGTAACTTGATAGCAAATATGGGAGCTGTAATAAGAACTGGTAATTTCTGTGTCAGGTTAAGCCTGTGTTTCCCTAGTGAGATGTTAAGAAGTAGGGAGGATGTGTGGAATCAGAATGTCTCCAAAGGAACGCAAGATACCACAGGCTCTAGAATTCAGCTGGTCTCTTTTCTGTTGTTCAAGGACTGAGGAAAGGATTAGACAACATCCAGGAACATCCAGAGGCTGTTCCATAGCAGCGTTCAGATTATGGGCAGGTTAGCTTGGCCCCTTCATTACTTTGTTTCAAATGAGATGCATGCATCTCTAATTCTACTGCTACATCCTGTTCTTCATATTAATTTTATGGTGCTGAAGGGTTATCATTCTTTGCTCTTGTAATTTGATGATGTTTTATATCCTGTTCTTGTCCCACTTGATTTATATATTGCCTTGAGCACCAATAGGACACAGAAAGGAATTCTGAATGTATTAAATAACTGACAAATAAATTCAAAGATTGAGAGTACATATGACTTCCAGTTCTCTGCTGTCTGTCTGCTTGGTCCATCTCTCTTTTGTCAGTCTACACCTTGGACAAGGCTGGCACAAGCACATTGTGGCTTGTTTCATTTGGGGTGTGGGTGCTCGTGTGTGTGTTGGGGGATGTTCTTGCCTTTGCTTGGGATGTTTCTAACACTCTTGGTGCTACAAGACATTGCTGGCCTGGCCTGGCCTAGTCTTAGGGTTCAGAAGTTTCTCATTGGGCTCAGAATTCCCAGATCCATCAGCTGGCATGATTGTGAGTCATTCTGGGACTGAAACAGTGACGTCTACATTGGCTTGGGCATGTCGTGAGAATGGCTGATGGTCAGATTCCGAAAGATCTTCTGTATGGAGATTTAGTGCAGGGAAATCACCCCAGAGGGAGACCACAGCTGCAATATAAGGATATCTGCAAGCGGGATCTGAAGGCCTTAGGAGTGGACCTCAACAGATGGGAAACTTTGGCATCTGAGCATTCAGCCTGGAGGCAGGCGGTGCATCGCGGCCTCTCCCAATTTGAAGAGATGCTTGTCCAGCAGGCCGAGGCAAAGAGGCAGTCCCAAAATCAGCAAAATCAGGGAGCTGGACAGGGGACAGACTGTATTTGTCTTCAGTGTGGAAGGGATTGTCACTCTCGAATCGGCCTTCTCAGCCACACTAGACGCTGTTCCAGAACCTCTATTCAGAAGACGTTATCATAGTCTCTCAAGACTGAAGGATGCCTACAACTATGTATCATTGAATCAATTTTGAGTTACAGTGATCCAATAAAATTTCCAAGACATGTAAAATGCTCAAGGAGAGGTTTACCATTGCTATCTCCAAGTGTGTTTCCACGGCCAAGTGGGGATTTGAACCCAAGTGTCTTGAGACCTAGTCCAATAGTCTGTCCACTGCATCAGTGGTCCCCAACCTTTTCTGAACTGTGGACCGGTTGGGGATGTGGGGTCCATACACAGGGGGCAGTGGCAGGGCAGCCCCATGCTCATGGATGGGTGGGTCATGTTCACAGGTGGGCAAGGTGTGTTCATGCACATGCACAGGTGGGCAGTGGGGAGCTTGTGGGTGGGTGGGGTGCTTGTAGGTGGGCAGGGTGTGCTCATGCACATGAGTGGATGGGTGGAGTGCGCTTGCATGCATGCGCAAGTGGGTGGGGTGTGCTCATGGGAAGGTGGAGTGTGCTCGTGCACATAGGCGGGTGGGGAAGGGCACCCATGCATGCGGATGGGTGGGCTGTGTGTGTGTGTGGGCATCCATGGGGGGAGTGTGTGCAGGGGGGAGATCTGTCTCCATGTCCCAGGGGTTAAGGACCCCTGCACTACACTACTCAGCATCATTACAACATCATTGCAATATTTTAGTTATTTTTGTCTGTAATACTAAAAGAGAAAGCATGCCCCTTACATGTTCTCTATCACAGCTCCAAGACTAGAATACTTAGACAGATAGAGAATCCTAGGAGCATGCATCTGATGGTTATTTTCTATTTTAAATTGATTTGTTCATTTTGGCTAATTAAAATCTATCTGTAGCATGCAGTACTACCTTTAGGCAATCTATGGCAGATTCTCTCATCCTTCCCTAACCCAGAGAGAAATTTGAGGGCAGTGCTGGGAAAATTAATTTCCTTTGCCAGATCCATATGTGTCTTCTCTCTCCAGGGCCTCCAAAGATTTTGAAGATAGGGGTAAAGTCCTGCTTCTAGGTAAGATTTGAAGAGAGCAGAGGAAAAAAGTTAATAAGCACAGGGATAGAGACATAGAAAGACCACCAAGCAAGAAAACCAGTGCATTTTTAGATGCCTTAAATCTGACTGTCACAGTGAGGCAAGGTAACAATATCCAAATACATCCCTTATACCCCAGGCTTTTATAATGGGACAGAGCACTAACTAAAAATAAATGGATAGGCTTACCTGGAGATGCTGTGTACAGCTCTGGGCATTTCTGATGCTTCAGTTTCCAGAATCCCTAGTGACAGAAGCATAGCAATTTAGTTGCAAAAATTATCAAATTAAGGCAATGATAAAGAACAGGGTATTGTCACAGTTTCTAATGCACAGATGAAGGATATTTGTAGGTCTAGGACTAACTGTGCAGACCTATATTTGCTGATGTAGAAAAAAAAGGCCTAGTGTTTGTAGAGGGATGTGTGCATACAATTTCAACTTTAAATGCACCAACCTATGGCCTAGAAATGTTTGTTTTCATGGAAAAAGTTGGGCCTATATATCACAGACAGGAACAACTGTGGGCCTCTAATAGTTTTTGAACTGCAGCTTCAATAATTGTTCATCACTGAAAAAGGGCTGATGGCCTGTATAGGCAAAAAAATATATATGGAGGATCAAAATAGCCCATCCCTGATACACTAGGAGAAAATGCTCCTCCTTAGCCTCTTAATTTCATCAAAGTTGTTCATGGCAATGGCTCCACCATAAACAGTGGAGTTAAAATCTTAAGCAAGACCATAGCAATATCTCAGAAACCTTCAAAGACAATTTTGGGAAATGGTTTCCAGGTGTAAGAAACCTACCTGTCAGAACATTCACCCTCACTTTCTGAAGGGTATTCACAATCCCCAAGAAGTCTGTCTTGCATTGATACAAACCAGCATCTTCCTTTCTGAGCGGGTTGATGGTCACTGTGAGGATCCCCTTATTGATGTTGTCGGCAATGGCAGTAGTGCCATTCCTTCTTTTGAGGAATGGCATCCAAAAGCGCCGGGCACTGACAATGTGCTGGCACTCCATCTCACTGATGTGTTTGCACCAGCTCTTTTCTCGCCACTGGTTTTCTTTTGGGCTGTAGGTGCAGTTGATGGAGATGGGCTCCCCTTCGACACCATACACTATTGTAACATCCTCAGTCGTATACGCTTCTGGAAAGGAGAGAATGTTTGTGGTGTAGCACCCCATCTTTGTATTGAGAAGTGATCAAATTATGATATTTCGATCTACACCACTGAGATCTACAGCCCTGTGTGGCCCCCATGACTACAGTCACCAAGTGTCCTCCTTTACAGAGGACAGTCCTCTCTTTGAAGAGCTGTCTTGTTCTGGCCTAGTTTAAAGATGAAGAACCAAAAGGAGGCCTTGAATTGTCCTATCAACAGTCAATACTTCTACAGGAGACTGAACAAGGACACAGATGAGCTGACCATAGCCTTCCCACTATGGAGAAAATTATTGTATTTCTATTTAAACTGTCCTTGTTTTTTGTGCTGCATTTCCATCAGTGCTGCTTTAACACTTCCTTATAGCACGAGCTTTCATGTACATGCAGGTTTTTCAGTGGAAGGGTTCTGGGTGTTTTACCCAAAAGAGTATTTTTGCCCTCGGACAGGAGTTTCACCCCCAAAAAATACCATTACACTTAGAACGTAGCCCCCCACACCTCTGCCTAGTACACTCCTTTGCACCTCTTTAACAAATAGAAAATTAAACAAGTGACAGGCTCCAAAAACATTTTCCTCTAGGCAGCTTCTTCTTCTTCTTCTTCTTTTTTGCACTGCTCTTTTGTGACATAGTACAGTTTAATAATTTAAACAAATAAATAAATAGACCACTCTCCATCTTTAAAAATAGAATGTATGCTTAAAACCTTTCCTTTGTTTTAGTCAGTCTTTTTTATACCTCAGTCTGTTTGGTTTAGTTAGGTTATGAAATACCTGGTGGCCAATAGTATTAAAATTTGAGGGAGGGAGTGGAATTGTTGAGATAGTGGAGTAGTGGGGGGAAAGTGTGTTGTTTATATTCCACCCTATAGTGCTTAAAGCACTCTCTGTGTGGTTTACAATTTAATTATGCAGGCTATATATCCCCCTGTTTCCAGCAAGCTGAGTACTTAGTTTACTGACATCGGAAGGATGGAAGCCTAAGCTGACTACCTGGATAATGAGCAGAGTTTTGTTGCAGTACTGCAGTTTAACCACTGCACCAAGAGGCTCTCTAGATCAGTGGTTCCCAACCTTGGGTAACCCAGGTGTTTTTGAACTGCAATACCCAGAAGTCTTCACCACTAGCTGTATTGGCTGGGGCTTCTGGGAATTGCAGTCTGAGAACGCCTGGGTTACCCAAAGTTGGGAGCCACTGCTCTAGATAGTACAACACATAATCAAATTCATAAGAACAGCAAGAGCTGTACAGAACCCCCCAAAATATCAGTGCATCATCTCCACTTTTAGGATTTGAGTTTTCACAGTCTTTTATCCTTCAGTGAATACAGAATTGCAGAATTTTACATCTATCTGGTTGGAGGGGACCATTAAGGTTATTAAGTTCAGCACCCTGTACTAATTTTTCACACATAATATCTCAAGGAGATTATTATAGTTGATGCAGACTAGAAAGTGCCATAAGGAGACTGGAGAGGCAAGCGAGAGGTGCTTAGCAAAGAAAGGACAGTTTTAGTGTTAAAAAATTAATCCAGATATTTTTGTTTAGCAGAGTCAGCTGTGTCCTATCTTTAGTATCATGCAGACATATTAGTCGTGGCCTTATTTGAACCACTCATACTGTGTGTCAGACAATAATTTGTTCCCAGAGTTAATAATTTCCTCACAGCCAACACAGAAGGATTCTAGTTATTTCATACCTGACAAAGAGACCAAGAAGATGAGACGCACAAATCTCTCCATCTCTCTCTTTCGCAGATCAAGGGAGAAAAGCTCCCAGCTGAAGATGAACAGAAGATCTTGCACAAGGGTAGGTTTTTTGTCTTACAAGGAATGAAGAAGAGGAACTGCCACTGCTCCCTATTCTGGATTAAGCAATACGCCAGCCAATAGCCTCTCATGTGCTGGTAATCATAGAATTGTAAAGCTGGAAGGTAACCAAAGGGTTATCGAGTCCAGCTCCCTCCCAAGGCAAAACAATAAAAATAAAATTCCATATCTTAAAGCATTCTTGACAGTTGGCCATCCAACCTCTGTTTTAAAATCACCAGTAAGCACAGTCCGCCAGCCTCTGAGGCAATCACTTCCCATTGCTGAACGGTTCTCACTGTTAGTTCTTTCTAATGTTTTGTTGAAATCTCCTTTCTTGTGACTTCTCACCCTAAAAAACAAGAACTCTTCATCTTTCATATGGCAACTAGAGATGGGGACAACTCACCATTTTGGCAAGTCATCCCGCTTTGTGAGTCATCAAAAGTTGACGACTCATGAAGCATGAAGTCGCCAATATGTGCTGCAAAACACCACTGAAGAATGCACAAGTTTTCAAGTTCTCTTGAACTCTTCATCAGGCTAGGTAGATGGTACAAAAATCAAAGGATTAGAGAAGAAACAAAAGGCAGAGAATGTTTCAAACAAGAGATCCTCATATGGAGCTCCATCATACAATACGGGAGGCTGGCACGATACCCTACCTTTCACAGCCAATCAGATTGATTGCATTCCATTTATTTAGGTCCCTGTTTAACCTTCACTGCCTATTACACATTTAACTTCTGTCTGATTTCAGAGTTCAAATGTGCACTCCATCCTCAGCAATATATACCTGCAATAACCATCCAAACTATATATACCTGCAATTAAGTATAACACTTCATGCATCCAGTGAAGTGGAATGTAGTCTATCAAAGCTTATGCCATGATAATACATTTGCTGTAGCAGCAGTGTAGTCGGGCTTGTGGAGATGAAGTGCTGACACTAATTAGCAGGGAGGATGATGTCATATCCCACCACCCTAAGGCTTCCTCTCTGAGCGTAGCTGCTGTCCTGCAGGGAAAATAATAGAAAGGGAAAAACCAGAGATCTGTTCAAGAAAATTGGAGATATTAAAGGAACCTTTTGTGCAAAGGTGGACATGATAAAGGACAAAAATGGTAGGGATCTTACAGAAGCAGAAGACATCAAGAAGAGGTGGCAAGAATACACAGAGGAATTATACCAGAAAGATTTGGATATCCCAGACAACCCAGATAGTGTGGTTGCTGACCTTGACCAGATATCCTGGAGAGCAAGTCAAGCGGGCCTTAGAAAGCATGCCTAACATCAAGGCCAGAGGAGGTGATGGCATTCCAGTTGAACTATTTAAAATCTTAAGAGATGGTGCTGTTAAGATGCTACACTCAATATGCCAGCAAGTTTGGAAAACTCAGCAGTGGCCAGAGGATTGGAAAAGATCAGTCTACATCCCAATCCCAAAGAAGGGCAGTGCCAAAGAATGCTCCAACTACCGTACAATTGCACTCATTTCACACGCTAGCAAGGTTATGCTCAAAATCCTACAAGATAGGCTTCAGCAGTATGTGGACCGAGAACTCCCAGAAATACAAGCTGGATTTTGAAGGGGCAGAGGAACTAGAGACCAAATTACTAACATGTGCTGGATTATGGAGAAAGCCAGAAAGTTCCCGAAAAAAAAAACTTCTACTTCATTGACTACGCAAAAGTCTTTATGTGGACCACAGCAAACTATGGCAAGT